CCAAAACAAATTCCTTAATGACACCATACGTGGGTATTGGTTCAAATAATTATTTATTGATTTGTACAATATTTATAATTATTCATGATTAATTTACATAACTAGGATTTGATTTTTACCAATTAGGGATTGACTTTGACCAATCAAGATTTAGGGATAATAGGGTTTGACTTTGACCGATTAGAGTTTACGGAGATTAGAATTTGACCTTAATCAATTATGAGAGAATTTAACCATAACTGAATCATTTAACCACAAGCGAAAAAAATAAAGCATTTCTTTCCCCGTTTACACCTTCTACCCCTCCCAAACCCTAAACCTTTATTCCAATCAAATAACTACCTTTAATCTCGATCCATCCAATTCTACTATGACATTATCTTAGAGGCAAAATCGTCTCTTCCTCCACTAACAACAATTGTTCGCATCGTCGGAATACGCATGGTATGACCAAGAAACTGCTCGTTATGATCCCCAGAGCCCCCAAAAACCTCTATGAATATTTTGACACCATTTATACTTTTCTGCCCCGTATGTCTGAACATGAATCAGTCGATTCCACCATTTTCGTATCCACATTTTTTACACTATTCGTAGCAATTGCGAAAAACTCTTTTGTAGCCATTTTTATCAAATTTAATAAGTATTTTATAGTCACTCTACACAATTAAAATGATTTTTTCATAAGTTTGTACAATATTTTTGGATAATTTATAATTAAATATTCATAATAGTATACAATATTTCTGATAAATTATAATTGCATTAAAACATTATAACTAATTTAATAAGTATTTTATTGTCATCCTAACTAATTTAATAATTTTGAATCTTTATCTCTTTTTTTTTTTTGGTAGAAAAATGGGACGCTAAGAGGGCGCCCCTGCCTGAAACTTTAGATTAAACGAGAGTGGGCAATGCCCATAGAGTCATACAAAAGCCAAAAATTGAGACCCGGGTCATCCCTCTCAATAACATGAAAGCCAAGACTAAGAGAATGCCCTTTGTTTGCAAGGTAGTCAGCTGACTTGTTGCCTTCGCGGAAAGTGTGAGAGATCTCAATCTCCCAATCTTGTTGGAGTAGTTGCTGCAATTGGGTCCAGAGGCTGTGATACCGACCTTCGTACGTCATATGGGAAGTCAGAATGGAAACAACCGTCTTGGAATCAGTCCGCATCTGTACTTTGCGGTAGCCCAGCTGCCAAGCAAGTTTTAGGCCTTGAAGCGCCCCCATCAGCTCAGCTCTCGTGATCGTGCAGGCTCCAAGGTTGGATGCAAACGCTCCCCGACATCTTCCTGAGTTATCCCGAAGAAGGCCCCCGCTGCTGCCAAGGAGTCAGGTTGCTTGACCGAACCATCTGTGTTGAGCGCTATCCAGTCCGGAGGGGGAGGGTTCCAAGCAATCTCAGTCGACGTCTTTGCACGCTGAGTCGGGTGTACTTTGCCATTGTTCTCTTGGGCGTTGCGGACAGTGTTGGTCCAGCTCCTAATTCTCTGGGCAAGAGTCGAGGGATCTTGTTGCTTGCTATCGAAGACCCATTCATTTCTTCTTTTCCATAAGTACCAAGCGCCAACTCCGAACAGCAGACCAGCTTGCGCGTCCTTCAGGTGCTCCGCCATCCAATCTGCAAGGTTTAAACCAATAGTTAAGTTGTTGTCAGAGACCCCAAGTTCATGCCATACCTGTGTAGCATAGGCACAGTGCCGGAGGACGTGCTCTGTTGATTCCGGGGCTGTTCTGCAAGTGTCACAAGTATCCTGTTGACACAACTTCCTTCTCTTCCTTTCGCAGTTCGTCATCAGACGGCCATGGAACGCAAGCCACAGGAAATATCTTATGTGATGGGGGCCCTCCCATTTCCAGATTTGCTTCCATTTGGGGCTAGCTTGGATCGGAGCGGCTTCATTGTCATCTTTTCGAAGCCATTCTGCAGCGACGGTGTAGGCTGATTTTATCCGAAACTTCCCGTCAGCTTCCATCCCCCACGTCGTCAGGTCTTCTCCAGCATCCCTACTGGGAGGGTCAGTACCTGCAATAAGCATAACAGTAGAGTGAGGGAGCAGACTTTCGAAGTTTGGCCACTTCCACTCACCTGCGTCGTCGGCCATGTCAGCAACCAAGACGTTCCAATCCACGCTGGGGTCTTGATCATTCGCATAGTCCTTCAGGACCACACCATCCGCCACCCAGGAGTCCAGCCAAAACTTAACGCTTTCTCCATCTCGGATGTCCCAAGTGGTTCCCTGTTTCACGATAGGGAAAGCCTCCAGCATCCCTTTCCACAATCTCGAAACTCTCTGGTGCCTCATAGAGACAGTGCCATCAATATTGGCATTAATATACTTGCCCTGCAAGACTCTAATCCACAGAGCACTATTATTATTGATAAAATTCCAGCAAAGCTTCATAATATATGCCAGATTAAGGGCGCGGGCTGAACGAAGGCCTAAACCACCCTCCTCTTTTGGCTTGCAGACAGTTTCCCAAGTCACAAGGTGGGCTTTAGTGCGCCCTTCCTCTGCTCCCCAGACAAAGCTCCGGATCTTTTTATCAATCACATCGCATATGTGGCAGGGCAGGACCGCTGTTTGCATCACGTAGTTCGGGAGCGCATTCAGGACTGACAGAGCTAAAGTAACCCTTCCTGCGAGCGAGAGACTCCGTGATTTCCATCCTGAAAGCCTCTTATCCAAGTTTTCCAGAATGTACTTGTAGGTGTCCTTGGTAACACGCCCGTGCACAACAGGGACTCCCAAGTAATTCCCAAGGTTGCTCGTCTGTTTAATTCCTAAAAGCCTGCTGATTCTTCTCTGGGCCCGATCCTTGGTATTCCTAGAGAAATAAACACAAGATTTGTCCTTACTGACTTCTTCCCCCGAAGCAGCACAAAACTTATCCAGGCAGTCAATGATGGCCTTCCCCTGTTTCATATCGGCCTCGGCAAAGAGCACTAGATCGTCTGCAAAAAAGAGATGAGTGAGGGCCGGTCCCTGGTGAGATAGATAGATAGGATTCCAGAGACCATTATCAACCGACTCTTTGATACAGTGGTTTAAACGCTCAATGCAAAGAGTAAAGAGGTAGGGAGAAAGAGGACATCCCTGTCTGATCCCGCGAGAGGGCTTGAAAGGATCCGTACAAATCCCATTCCAGAGAACCTGAAAACTTGAAGTGGTTACACAGCCCATAATCAGCTTTATGAAGTCCATCGGGAGATTGGCTGCTACAAGAGTGGATTGCAAGAACTCCCAATTAATCCTGTCGTAGGCCTTGGCCAAATCGATCTTCAGGATCATACTGCCCCGAGCACCCTTCATCTGATTGAGAGAGTGGACCACTTCCTGGAGGATAATGATGTTGTCTGTGATGTGTCTCTTAGGAACGAAACTGGTCTGGTTTTCGTCAACCAAACGAGGCATAAGGATCTTCAGACGATCTGCCAGACATTTTGCCACGACCTTGTAGCTGACATTGCAGAGCCCGATAGGGCGAAATTGCCCCATTGACCTTGGAGAATCACACTTCGGCAGCAAGGTCAAGAGGGTCGTGTTGCAACGGGAGATGAGGTCTGGCTCACTAAAGCAGCGAACAAGATGTTGATAGAAATCATCCCCTATAGCCGACCAGCAATTCTGATAGAAAATCGCATGAAAACCGTCCTTGCCCGGCGCTTTGAGTCCACCCATTGCCCTGATGATACCTCGGGTTTCATCAAGAGTAGGAACAGCTGCTAGGTTGCGAACAAGAACTTCTTCAAGGGCTGGAAAGTTGGCAGCAACTTGCGGCCTAGTGGCAGTGTCTTCAGTGAATAGTTGAATGTAGAAATTCCTGGCCATGTTTTCCAAAGCTTGGGCATCTTCGATCTAGGTACCATTACCATCCTGAAGCTTGGTTACCTTGTTCCTCCGCCGCCTTGTGAGAGCTACAGTGTGGAAATATGTATTGTTCTTGTCCCCGTGGGTGATCGAAGTGGCCCTAGCCTTTTGCATCCAGAGGAGCTCTTCTTGCCAAAGCGTGTTTTCCAGTTCCTCTCTGAGATTAGCTTCCTGTTGTAGAGAGAGGAGATCCGGGCTGCTATCATTACGTGCTTCAACATCAGCAAGGCATCTGGTAAGCTCCTCTTTCCTTCTGAATATGTTCCCGAAGACCTACCTGTTCCATTTTGAAAGGGTGTGCTGGAGCTCGTTAAGAGAGTCAAGAAAATCTCCTCCCGCCTTCCACGATCTGTCTATAGTAGGATGGAAATCCTGGTGGGCCAACCAAGGAGCAAGAAAACGGAAGGGTCTCCTGTTTTTCTTGCCGCTGCTGTCCCTGGCAGCCACGATCAGTAAGGGCCTGTGATCCGAGCGGAGGCGAGGAAGGTGGTGATTAACTGTGTCCGGGAGCAGCTTTAGCCACTCCTCATTACAAAGGGCACGATCAAGTCTTTGGTGAAGGCTGCCCTTAACCCAAGTGAACTTTGGCCCTGAGAACTCAATGTCAAATAAGCCACAATCATTTATGCATCTGTTGAAACTTTCTGCTCTAGCTGGATTATAAGCCGCACCGCCCTGCTTATCCGAAGGACACCTGATGGAGTTGAAATCCCCGGCCAGCAACCACGGTTCGGATATAGTTTGTTCCAGCCGCCGGATCGAGTCCCAAAGCGGGAGTCTGTCATGCTCATTGGGTTTGGCGTAAATGGCAGTGAAAAGGGCCTCTTGATTAACCTGCAAATTGACACAACGAAAATGCAGCAATTGAGCATTTCTATCCAAAACAGAGATATTGAGAACTGAAGAGTTCCAGAGAACCCAAATGCCCCCAGAGAACCCCACAGCTTCAACCACCTCATGCTTATCAAAACCCATCTTACGAATGACCTCCAGTGCTTCCTTGCCGCTAATACGCGGCTCAACAATGAAGACAAGATTCGGACGATGGATACGCATATAATCCTTAAAAACAGCGAGAAATTTAGGGTTCTTCGCCCCCCGACAATTCCAAGTAAAAAGACTAATCATTAAAAATAAAAAAGAGAGGGTCAAGAGAGGCGCAGCAGCGCTAAGGGTTGTCGGTTGGCTGCAGCCTGTCGGCGCTAGCACAGGAAGTCAAAGAAGTGCTAGATTCTGGGTCCATCATCGTAGCATCGCTTCTGATCTCACCCAGCGGCGTCCGGGCTTCCTCTAGCTTCCTTGAGTTGCTCATCATGAAATCCTCAATGGCTTGAGGGTTAAGCAGCAGCCCTGCTTTTTTCACAAACTCCTGCAGCTTATCTTTGGCCAAGCTAGAAGAGCAATTCATCAATCTCTTGGAAGGATCCTTTTGTATTCCCATCTTAGCTTCCTTCCCTGGTGCTTGCGGGGACTTCTTCTTAGGATAGTGGTCTCGGATCGAGACACTCGGCAGGTTGGGGTCGGAATTTTCTTTGGTCGGCGTTGGAAAGCGGAGGGGGATCGGGATACTTGACTTCGTCTGTGGGGAAACATGAGAGCTGGGGATTGGGTTCGGAGTCATGGGCTGCGACATTGGGTTGGTCCCAGCTTGTTGGTTAGAGGCCTTTGATTCAGTGTGGGTTTGGGCCGTTCCCAATGGGCCTTTACCACCAGTAATCCGCCACTCCTGCGATGTCGTTCCTGGTTTGCCGCCCAAAGGACCGTTGCCTTTCCCCTTCGAGTTATTGGGAATCCCCTTTCTTTCCTCTATTTTCTGCGCAATATTTCCTTTCCCGTTCTTTCCAGAAGAGGCTTTATTTTGCTCTCCCTTCCCAGATTGAGGAACTTTTCCAGCCATCTTTCCCTCAATAGCACCTTGATTAGGATCGGATCCCTGAACTGAGGCCGTTTTCTGCGCCACTTTCCTATTCTGTCTTTTGCTCTTCCGGGTCACTTGCATCCAGGGGCCGTAGCCGGCGGCCGGCTCCGGTGCCGGCATCACCATTGGGGTGGGGGTATCAGCACTAGGCGTTGCCGTTGAGGCAGTGATCGCCGCACACACCTTCTTTGGACAGGCCTCCTCAGTATGCCCAATCCTGCCACAGTCAAAACAGATTTCCGGCAAGTTTTCATATAGGACCGGTTGCCAGAATCCATCGAGGCGGATGCGCGTGGCCAGAGGCTTCGTCATGTCCAGCTCCACCGCGATGCGAGCGAATTTCCCCCGCTCCAGATTCTCCGTATGGTAGTCAAGTTTAACAGTCCGGCCAATTAGGTTCCCCAGAGCAAAGAGAACCTCCCGGTGATAGAAATGTACTGGAAGCTCAGGTAATTGAACCCAAGCTACTACCGACCTATGCGGCTTGTCTGAGGTACGGAACGAGGGCGACCATTTGTGGACTACGAGATAGTGATCGAGGATTGTCCAGGGCCCACCAGTGAGAGAATTGAGGAGGTCTTGATCGTTGTGAAAAGAGACAAGGAAGGTTTCGTTGTTGAGGTCTACTATATCCAATCTACCCACCGGCCGCCATTTCCACCGGAGCTGGGAGCACAGATACTTGTATGAAACCGATCGTCCGAGGAGTCTGACCACCAGGGTTTTGCTCCACGGTTGGCAAAGCCGTTCCTTGAACTGGCCGGACACTTTAAGTTCCGGTTCGCCGCCGTATAGGCCAGGTTCCAGGTCGTGTTGGCCGACAAAAGTCCATTGATTGATCTTCGACGCAGCTTCTTGAACAGGGCCAGTAAGCGCTGATTTGAAGTTCAGTGGAGGGAAGCTCGCAGGACTCGCTACAGGAGGGACTTGGGACAGAGGCCGATTTGCTGGGTTCGTCGGAGAGTTCGATCCGCCGGGGTCGTTACAGAGCATTTTCGGAGAGAACCCTTATCTCATGGCGATGCTTTTTTAAGTGCACCAGCACCATTTATCTCTTTTTTTGTAATAGAATCCTTACCTCTTTAATCACTACCAACCTAATTTGATATAATTATAATTTTTTGTGATAAACACAATTATAGTTAATCACTACAACTTCTTTCCTAGTTAAATGATAAAACTTAAATTGATATAAAATAGTAACATTTAATATAATAATAAATTTTAATATTAATCTATTTCTCTCTCCAATTAACCTCCCTCAAATTTCTACGGCAGAATCATGTTCCTACTATCATTTAATATAATAATAAATCTTAATATTAATCTATTTCTCTCTCCAATTAACCTCCCTCAAATTTCTCTTCCACTCCCAATTTTTTCCGTTGAATACTCTCTCTCCATCCTTTCATTCTCTATCTCTTCGTTCATCTACCGTCCACTAGCAGACGGGGTTCGACGCCGGTGAGCGGACGGGGTGGGGTCTTTGTTTAGTAAAAGCCGCCGGATAAAAATGGAGCTTATCTCATTCGCCAGCTAGTGTGGTTTGCTGGTTTGATGACAGTGGTGGTCCGTCAGGGTGGCTCCGGTGATGGTGGTTCTCCCTCGACGATGGTGATGGAATTAATGTCGATTAGTGTGAAAGAATTTCGTTAGAATAGAACGTAACCAAATAGCAGGGGCAAATATGTCAGTTTGATTTGAAATGCGGGCGGCAAATAGTAAAGAAGCGGGCGACAAATAACAACCCTCTATTGGGAAACCCTCTTAATCTGTGTTGTCTACGGTGCGGTCTGGTTCAGATCATATAGGCGGTCTATGGTCCAGACTGAGAGATTAAAGTATAAATTAGAGATCAGACTACATACTATACAGTCCAAATTAGATCACGCATGTGCGGTCTGGTTCGGTACAGTTTGGTCCAGAATACCACATTGAACAAAAAATGAACACTTTGTTACCAATAACTGAGGAAAAAAATTGTTTTTTGCCTTAAAACATAAAATCCAACATGCATGAATAATTTTGACTCCCTAAATCTTAGTAAATAACAAAGATACAAAGTCGAAGAATCCCAACTCGCTTCATAACGTTGCAAACATTAAAATAATGTCATACAGATACAAGATCGTCACTATTCTCTATTGAAATGTGGTTGTCGGTGAAGGAGGGGACGAGATTCTCAAAATTAAGGTCGAGACTTGAGTCTAGTTGGGGGAGTTGTGAGAGTGGTTGAGTGGGATACTAACATGTATTGAAAAGTCGGCTAGATCCACGTTTTGGTATGGTAAACCGTGGTCTAAACCAGACCATACAAAATGTTCAAAACTTCATATAATACAGAACATGGACTAGACCAAACCATTCTTCAGGGTACGGTCCGGACCAAACTATGCGGTCTGGTTTGGTCCACGATTTTTCAAACGATTTGATCTATTTTTCTAGCCCTACTAGATGTTTTTACTTTGGGTTGTGCTGTAAGGTCTGGATTAGTAACCACAAATTCTTGATGAAATTTACTTATTGACTAGAAAATGGTTGAACAATTTTTCTTCTTTGGTACCACCAAGTCAAGAACTCTTTAAAACTATTATCTAGTAGACAAAATAGGGTGACAACATCTCGCGTTATGTGACAACACTAGTATTTACCAATTAAAAATTAGGATTGTATTGACTTTTTAATTAGATAGGTTGGTTTAGTGTAAATTTCTAGAAAATAACATAATAGTCATTTAGAATATTATGTTTAACCTACCAATAGTAAAATAAAAATAAAAAGAATAAAAAAAAGGGCTAACGCTACTACAACACTCGAGTGGTTCAAAAAACTTGTATACTATCTTATTCAATATTTGGTTTCTATTTTGTTGTTTGATACTTTTGTGACATTTGTATCATGACACTTTCATTGATTGTTAAAGATAACGACTGACCAAACGGGGGTCAATGTGATGTGGCACAAATTAAACAGCTACATAGATGCCACATCAAATTATTTTTAATTCAAAATTAAATTAAAAATAAGAAATATAATATAATAGAAAAAATTAGAAATTAAAATAAAAAATATTTTTTTCTACCTTACAACGTCACTGCCTTAACCATCTTGTGGGTCTCCGGGATGACGCTGGGGTCATGCATCTGTAACGTCCCAGTGCAGTGGATTGAGCTCTCGACGAGTATTTGGATGGCTGTTTTCCAGAATAGGCTAGGGAAGTGAAGGAAGAAGATAGATTCACGTCTCTAGAACAGTTGGGAAACAGAAGAGTAAAGTAAGAGAGATTGAAGAGAGAGAGAGAGAGAGAGAGGAGGGAAAGTTTGTTATTTCGTTCTTAGCCGTTCTAACACCAGACGTGTGGCTACTTATAGCACGTCTGGTTTATTACACTTTGATCCTTCTATTTGTAATTTGTAACAAAAATCAAACCTCTATCTTTACAATTGTTACAACTCCACCCCCCCTTCGAAACAGTCTTGTCCCAAGACTTAATATCACTTGCTCATTGTTGAAATTTTGGAAATTTGGCCTTGAAATCTTCGAGATACTCCCATGAAGCATCATCTTCGGATTGGTGAGTCCACTGAATGAGGAGTTGAGTCGCAGGCCGATTCTGCACAATTACCACCCTCCTGACCAATATGGCCAATGGTTCTACCTTCAATTCACCTGCAGTATCAAACTCTGGGAGGGTAGGCTGCGTTGTTATATATACTCCAACAAATTTCTTTAACAACGAGACGTGAAACACTGGATGATTGACGACATCAGTTGGTAATTGCAGTTTATAGGCCACCGTTCCCACCTTCTTCAATATCTGGAAAAGACCATAGAACTTCGGAGAGAGCTTCTGATTAGCTCTAGCAGTCATTGAAGTCTGCCTGTAGGGTCTCAATTTTAAGTAAACCAGATCACCCTCCTGAAAATGTCTCTCTGTTCTGTGTTTATCTGCCATATGCTTCTGATGATTCTGAGCCATTGCCAAGTTATGACGAAGGATCCCCACCCTCTGCTGCTGAGTCAGTCGATCAGCTACAGCTGCCACGGCCGCTGACAAGGGGTTCTGGATGGCAAAGTGCGATGGTGGATAGTCATACAAGGCCTCAAAAGGGGTAAGTCTCAAACTAATGTGGAAGTTGATGTTATACCACCATTCTGCAAGTGACAACCAGGAAGTCCATTGCTATGGAGTGCGATGGATCATACTACGAAGATAATCCTCCATGCATCGATTGAGTCGTTCTGTTTGGCCATCAAACTGAGGATGATAGGCTGTAGAATAGTGAAGCCTGACATGTTGCAGCTCAAACAAAGCAGACCAGAACTGACTTGTAAAAATCGAGTCTCGATCATTGACAATCGAGACTGGCATTCCATGTAACCTGAATACACCATCAATGAAGAGCTGTGCCACAGAAGCTGCTATATATGGTTTGGAAAGACTGAAGAAATGAGAGTATTTAGTGAATCTGTCCACTACAACCAGTATAGCTTCCTTACCATTAGATTTAGGTAATCCTTCAATGAAATCCATGGACAAATGCTGCCATACTCCTTCTGGAATAGGTAAGGGCTGCAAAAGACATGGATAAGGAACATTTTCTATTTTGCAATGATGGCAAGTATTACATTTATCCAAAAAGTCATGCAGCTGTTTCCTCATTCCAGGCCACCAAAAGAACCGTTTTAATCGTTGATAGGAAGCTTGGACGCCAGCATGACCACCTACATGTGAGCCATGAAACAGTTGCAGCAATTGAGATCTAATATGACCTGCATCACACACATACAAAACACTTCTATGATACAACAATCAATTCTTCACCGAATTAATCCTGGGACCAAAGAAAGGGACCACTGCCTCAGTAATCAAGGATTGAACCTCAGTATCCCCAATATAACTGTTTTCCACTTCAGTCAACCAACTAGGCAGAACAACAGAAATTGCTTCATAGCTTCCAGTAGTGAAATTAGGATGCCGGGATAAAGCGTCCGCCACCTTATTGAACTTTCCTTGGCGATAACAAATCTCAAAGTCTAATCCCAACAACTTCACCAACCCCTTCTTCTGTATTTGTGTGCGAACCTTTTTCCCAAGCAAATACTTGAGACTTTCATGGTCAGTTAAGATGGTAAAAGTTCCGCCTTCTAAGTAGTGTCTCCATTGAGTTACCACCATTATAACTGCCAAGTATTCCTTCACGTATGTCGACAGTCCTTGATTCTTTGTGAATAAAGATTGACCGAGGTAGGCCAGGGGTTTTCCTCCTAAGACAGCACTGCCCCAATCCCCAAGTCACTGCATTTGTTTCTAGAGTAAAAGGCTTGTTGAAATCTGGTAAGGCCAGGATAGGGGCCTGAGTCATTGAAGTTTTAAGTAGTTCAAAAGCTCTTTGGGCATGAGCAGTCCAAACAAACCCACTTAATCCCCAAGTCACTGCATCTGTTTCTAGAGTAAAGGCTGGTTGAAATCTGGTAAGGCTAGGATAGGGGCCTGAGTCATTGAAGTTTTAAGTAGTTCAAAAGCTCTTTGGGCATGAGCAGTCCAAAAAAACCCACTTTTCTTCAATAAATCTATTAATGGTTTGGCTATGATACCATAATTTGGGACAAACTTCCTATAGTATCCTGTTTAACCAAGGAAACCTCTCAATTCCTTGACTGATCTAGGTGCTGGCAGTAAACCTCCTGACTGGCTACGGGTCATGCACTACCTGCACACACTCAAGCAAGCAAACCCGTGAAGGCACAAGTGGGACAAAGCAAACAAAGCAGAAAGAAAGGCTAAATTAAGAGAAATCACTTTTCTTCAACAACCTAGCCGTCCCCGGCAACGGCGCCAAAAACTTGACTCGACTCTACTGTCACTCCAGGAATTGGCCAAGTGTAACCACTTCCTAAAGCGTAGTATAGCGGGTTTAGGTTTAATTATCAACCCGGGTCCTAGATTTGCTGACTACTCAGTGAGTTCTTGTTATCTAGCAATAAAACTGGAGTGCAAGTCTAAACTACCAAACAAACAAAGCAAGTAAACTGGTTGTATTCAGGTTAAAGAGGTCACCCGGATATGGTTCCCCCTAGACTGCAGTTAAGCCGGATTGTAATTACCAAGTTCAGTTTCTATGAAGATTATACTGCGGAAGGTTCTTAAACAGCCTGAAGTCTCGACTAAAGGTCTTCAGACCCTCTCAATCTGACTCTCTAGCGGGCGACTAACCTCCACCGGAGTCGACAGATTGAGGCCCTAAGAACAAAACCTCCACTACCGGAGTAAATCCGGTACAGAATAGTGAGTTGGTTCCTCGACTAAAGTCACCAACTCCCTACCTTCAATCAAGGATACTCTATTAACCTAGGCAGATATTCTCATTCTAGGTCAAAGCAGAAACAACAGGAATTTGATCAGGATTCAAGTCATTCAATCATTCAAACCTCAATCGAATATAATCAAATCATAGAATCAGTACTTGGGTTCATACAATCAAAGCCTAACATACAAATCTAGGGTTCTCCATACCCAGATGAATGGGAGAACTACTCCATAGAGAAGAAAGCAAAAGCAGAATCAGACACGGAATTCATACTGCAAAGGATGGATTCCTGCTTCTGGACGTTGATTGGCACTTCTCCAAGCTCAAGCTGGCCTCCAATGGTGTTGAAGATCAATCTAGGGCACTTGGGAACTCTTGCTCGTCACTTTCTCTCTCTAGGAACTGATCTCTCTCTCAAAAACTCGAATCCCCTTGAGTTGTGGCTGAAAATCTGCTTAAAAGCATCAGTGGCCAAAGCACGGTCGAGGGCACGGCCGTGCTTTGCCTGACTCCGCCCGTGTCTCGGCCAGGGCTTAATTACACGGCCAGCAAGTGGGTTAAACACGGCCGTGCTTTGGTGGAACACGGCCGTGCTTCGGTGCCCATGTTTGCAGCTGAACTGGCCAAACTGAATTTGCTCTCGGCATAAAAAGCACGGCCAGCAGTACACGGCCGTGTAATGCCTTGGGTCTGCCAGTGTTTTGGCTCCAGCTCACCGAAATGACTTCCGAATGCCCCGAAACTCGCGCTTAGCCTTCCCTTTGACACCTGGGACCTGAAACATGACAAAATAGCACAACCCGGCGTAAAATAGGCCACAACACACGACTATGCCCCTCAAACGGATAAGAACTAGGGGTGCAAACATGTGCAATTACATCGTTATCAACCATCAATACAAGAGAAGCAAACGGACTTCTGCTGGGTTGGATAGTGAGCAGCCATCATTTCTTCCATCAATTTATCCATTTCCTTCTTTTGTGGTAATGAGTATCTGTAGGGCCTGAGATTGACAGACTTAGAATCTGGCAACAAAGGTATCTGGTGATCACAATGACGAACATGGGGTAAGTAGTAGGCTTCCCAAACACATCTGCATATTGTTGGAAGGCTGGTGCCAAAAAAGAAGGTACTACATTCTTCTCAGTAGACTCTACTTTTAGAGAAAATAATTGTCCTGCTCACATTGTCATCTTTTGCCTCAAGAACTTTTGAACTCCCTTACCTGTCATAGACTTACAATTGGCCACCTCTGATACTCCATGCAATGCCACCTCCGTACCAATAAAATCAATGAACAATTGAAGATTAACAAAATCGAATTTGACAGGACTGATAGTCTTTAGCCAGTTGATAGACCGTTAGTTACACATGTTTTCACCCCTGTTCTTACACCGTTTGAGAGGTGGTTTCTCGTGTTTTAGACCGATTTCACGCTAGGTTGTGCTTGTTTGTGATATTTCAGGTCCTGGCAAGTGAATGAAGGTTTAGGAGCGAGTTCGGGGTCGATTGGGCGAAGATCGGGCGCGAGACAAGTCACAAAGGAGGTCACACGGGCTGCCCTGATGATCACATGGCCGTGTGAAGGAGTAGTCTGGCCGTGCGAGTTTCGCCGAGAGCAAACACGGGCAGAGCAGGACATCCACACGGCCGTGCAAGAGGCCAGTCTGGCCGTGTGGAATTCTGCGTGAGCAAACACGGGCAAAAAGGAAGTTCACACGGCCGTGCCACTCTGGCCGTGCAAAGAGCCTGGAATTCGAACTAATTGGAACGCAGCGTTTTGACTCACACGGGCAAATGGGTAAGCCACACGGCCGTGCCACCCTGACCGTGTGAGTCGGGATTTTCTGCTTAAAACCCGATTTTCAGCTAAAGGAGAAGAGGAGAGCTGGGTTTTGGATCCCAAACACCCAAGGGACGAACCAAAGAGAGAGAGGGCGATTTGAGGGCATTCTTGGAGTGGAGTTGGAGGATTTCTTCGCCTTGGAAGCTCGAGGAACAAGCCCGGACTTGAAGACTGATCATCTGAAGATTCTTACTGCAGTCTCTCTCTTCTCTATGGAGTAACTTCCCTTCACTTAGGTTTTGAGGAACCCTAGCTATGTTTGTTTGATTGGATGATTGTATGAGTACTCTAACTGGATAATCTTGAGTTCATATTCAATCTATGCATGTTTTCATGATTCAATTCTGCTTTAGTCGAGATTATTGATTCTGATTTGATTCTATGAGAGGGAATACCTGATTAGGTCAATAGAGCACCATAGATTGATAGTAGTGGATCGATTGCTTTAGTCGAGGGTTGATTCACTGCTTTGTATCGATTGAGAACCCCTTTCGATAGAGGGAGTCTAGTTCAGAACGCCTTGATCAGTTGTTCTAGAGAAGGATACGTCCCTCTAGGCAATTGACTCAAGAGGGCCTTGTTCCTTTAGTCGAGACTCAAGGTCTAGTCAAGGATTCTCCGCATTGTGAATGAAAGTGAAACAAGTTAGAGATCATCAATCGTTAATCTGGCTAGTGGCTAGGGGGAATCATACCTAAGTGAGTTCCCAACCTGTAATTAGATTAACTTTAACTGTAGTTTGCTAGAGTAGTTTTAGTTCTTTCATCTTAATCTGATTTGCTAAATAATAAACTGAAGCTGAGTAATAGTAACTCTAGAGACCCGTGGATTCGATATTTATCACTTGAGCCACTATACTGCAGTCCCTTTCATTGGTTACACTTGGCCTTTGTTAGGTGTTGTGTTTTAGAGCATCAAGTTTTTGGCGCCGTTGCCGGGGACTTTCTAGAGTATTAGGAAAGGCAGAAGTTTGTTACTTTAGCGTTTTTCGTTTCTTTTCTTTTCCACCCTTGCTTTTCACTTGGGTGTTTTTGTTTTTGTTGGTGCAGATCTGAATCATGGATCCTAATGGCTTCTCCAATCATTGGGGGTATCCACCACCATCTGGGTGGTATTACCCCGAGACTCCGTGGAGCAATCAAGGCGGAGAAGACTATGGATTCGGGTTCCAGTACCAACCCCCTTACTACGGAGAACAACCGGACCCCTGGGCATATCAAGAACAACCTCATTACCAAGAAGAATTTCTCCCACAACCAGAAGGGCCATTGGAGCTGGAGTTACCCATGGCGGCCTTCACGGGCCATTCTGCAGAGCCATGCTATACTCCACAGCCAGATCCACACTATGAATTGAGACTTCTCATGGAGCAGTTTGCTCGAGACTGTGATAGAACATGCTCCAGGATGGATCATTGTGTCCAGGCCTATCGTGAAACAGAGGAGATCCTCCTGAGCCTTAAGAAGAGCGTCGATGATCTTGAGCGATCTTGGGCACAGCCTGCTCCAGATCACCCTTCTGCTACCATACAAGAAGAGGAGGAGGAAGAAGAAGGCTACAAGGACATTGTGGAGCACACTGAAGTTGTCACGGAGAGCTCCCGTGATGATCATGATCAGGAGTGTCCTGTCGTAGCTGACCACACCTTCCCACACCCCAAACTGCGCTTTGAAGAGGCGGGCATGAGTTCGGAGATGCAAGAAGATCTCATGAAAGAAATTGCTTGGCAACTTGCTCTCCAATCCGTGCTAGAAGAAGAAGAGCAAGAAAGGGTGCAGAAAGAAGTTGTGGAGGATGGCGAAAGTGAAGCTGGAGAAGTTCTTGATCATTTCCCAGGGGTGATACCACATGAAGAAGGAAGGGAGGTTGAAGAAGCAATTGGCGTCCAGGCTGAGGACGGAGTTAAGGTGGAAGAGGCCTGCACCAGCCATGAGTTACATGTGATATCTCCACCAAACTTCGAGGAACTGCTTAGCAAGGACCCATTTGCAGTGTCTCTTTGCCAGACCAAGGCCACCTCGACATCGGTCCCTCTTGGTGGACGCGATGGTGGCCAATCGATGCTGTCATATCTGGTTTGGGGCAATGAGACGAGAGAAGAGAAGAAGAGGTCTCGAGGGTGGAGACTTCATCTGCATCAAGTACATGAGCCTTCATCACCTGCCACACCACATGCTCATGACTTGAGACTCCACCTCATCGACGAGAACCTCAACTTCAAGGAGGTTCTAGCATGGACCGAAACTTAGGAGCCATCGTCCGGCTCACGACGTGAAAGAAGCGCTTGTGGGGAGGCAACCCCACCATGGTTTGATTTTCTTTCTTGTGTTTTGAGTCGGATTGTAACCCGGTTTGGGTTTGGTTTGTTTTCTTTTGGTTTGGATGATATTTTATTGGGCTGACCATTGAACCTAACATACTGTGTTTGAGCTCTTCTGTTCCCCTTTGGCTGTGCTTGCCCCGACTGGCCCGTTTCCAGTCCCCTGCAGTCCGTGCATACCGGTAACATCTTTCCCTATCCCTTCCCTCTTCTCCATTGAGGGCAATGTCGATCTTAAGTGTGGGGGGGGGGGGTGTTTATCTTTTGACTGCATTAGATCTATTTGTGTGCTTGGAGCCTAGTCCACTGTCCAAATTTTTAAATTTGAGGGCTCCAAGTACGTGTTTCCTTGCAATTGCCTGCTCAGTATGCTTTGAATTGACAGTCTTTACAGTAATATGCAACCTAGGGAGGTAGTGTAGCACTATGGAGGATGTTGATGCATTTAAGAAGTCTCATTTCTTCTTCATATTGAGTTGGTTGATTGAGTGAATTAGTGATCTTAGGACCCTTGAATTGTGTGGTATTGTGGATTCTCTACCTGTCATGGACTCTTGTATCATGTTTTGAGTTTAACAGGTGCTCGAAAATGTGCTTCAAAATAAACGTCTCCCGTGCGAATAGGGCGAAAGTGTGTAAGGGGAGACGGGAATTTGTTCCCAATTTCCACCTACTACCTCCAGCCCCCTTACATGTCTTTCCCCCGCACGAGGCTCGAGACATCCGCTCCTGGCATGGCCGGTAAGAGCAGGTTGGGACCCTTGAAAAGAAAAGAAAAGAAAAATAACAGAAAACAAGCAAAACAGAAAAAAGGGGGTTCCAACCATCTTCAAGAACAAAATAGAGCACCTCGAAAAAATGTGAGTCCATGATCCTTTGTTTTTGAGAATCTCTTCATCCACAATTCATTTGTCCTCTGTTCACTGTTTGCCATGATGCCGACTCGCCGAAGAAGTTATGAGGTGACTTGTGCGTCGGTTGACCTCGTAAGTTGCTAAATGATCTAGGAAGTCCTCTACCTACGATCTGGGTTGTTTGTTGCTATAGAGGTCTGGAGAGCTACATTGGTTTGAGTTAGGTTTGCTTGGGGACAAGCAAACGGTTAAGTGTGGGGGAGTTTGATAGACCGTTAGTTACACATGTTTTCACCCCTGTTCTTACACCGTTTGAGAGGTGGTTTCTCGTGTTTTAGACCGATTTCACGCTAGGTTGTGCTTGTTTGTGATATTTCAGGTCCTGGCAAGTGAATGAAGGTTTAGGAGCGAGTTCGGGGTCGATTGGGCGAAGATCGGGCGCGAGACAAGTCACAAAGGAGGTCACACGGGCTGCCCTGATGATCACACGGCCGTGTGAAGGAGTAGTCTGGCCGTGCGAGTTTCGCCGAGAGCAAACACGGGCAGAGCAGGACATCCACACGGCCGTGCAAGAGGCCAGTCTGGCCGTGTGGAATTTGTACGTGAGCAAACACGGGCAAAAAGGAAGTTCACACGGCCGTGCCACTCTGGCCGTGCAAAGAGCCTGGAATTCGAACTAATTGGAACGCAGCGTTTTGACTCACACGGGCAACTGGGTAAGCCACACGGCCGTGCCACCCTGCCCGTGTGAGTCGGGATTTTCTGCTTAAAACCCGATTTTCAGCCAAAGGAGAAGAGGAGAGCTGGGTTTTGGATCCCAAACACCCCAGGGACGAACCAAAGAGAGAGAGGGCGATTTGAGGGCATTCTTGGAGTGGAGTTGGAGGATTTCTTCGCCTTGGAAGCTCGAGGAACAAGCCCGGACTTGAAGACTGATCATCTGAAGATTCTTACTGCAGTCTCTCTCTTCTCTATGGAGTAACTTCCCTTCACTTAGGTTTTGAGGAACCCTAGCTATGTTTGTTTGATTGGATGATTGTATGAGTACTCTGACTGGATAATCTTGAGTTCATATTCAATCTATGCATGTTTTCATGATTCAATTCTGCTTTAGTCGAGATTATTGATTCTGCTTTGATTCTATGAGAGGGAATACCTGATTAGGTCAATAGAGCACCATAGATTGATAGTAGTGGATCGATTGCTTTAGTCGAGGGTTGATTCACTGCTTTGTATCGATTGAGAACCCCTTTCGATAGAGGGAGTCTAGTTCAGAACGCCTTGATCAGTTGTTCTAGAGAAGGATACGTCCCTCTAGGCAATTGACTCAAGAGGGCCTTGTTCCTTTAGTCGAGACTCAAGGTCTAGTCAAGGATTCTCCGCATTGTGAATGAAAGTGAAACAGGTTAGAGATCATCAATCGTTAATCTGGCTAGTGGCTAGGGGGAATCATACCTAAGTGAGTTCCCAACCTGTAATTAGATTAACTTTAACTGTAGTTTGCTAGAGTAGTTTTAGTTCTTTCATCTTAATCTGATTTGCTAAATAATAAACTGAAGCTGAGTAATAGTAACTCTAGAGACCCGTGGATTCGATATTTATCACTTGAGCCACTATACTGCAGTCCCTTTCATTGGTTACACTTGCACTTTGTTAGGTGTTGTGTTTTAGAGCATCACCAGTCAAGTCCCATACCATATCATTAGTGCCCAAACTGAGAATTCTAGCATCATAAGATAACTGATGACCCTGCATTTCCCATTGAAACCCATGGCAAACCTTCGTGCTCATCAACACTGTACCATCAACCAACTTCACTCGGAGAGGTGCTGCTTTTTCCAGTTCGTATTTCAACTCAGTGGCCTTAGCTTCATTCAAGAACGTATGTGTGCTACCCGTGTCAATCAGAATGAACAACTTAGCCTTCTTGACCTTACCTTGCACCACCAAAGAACTAGCTACTCCGCCACTGCCTACAGCCTGCATTAGAACTTCTTCTGGATCAGGTGAAAGTATCTCAATGGACACTTCCTCATCATTATCAGTGTCATCAGCACTCCAATCCAATTGTGCTACCACATCTACTTCATCAGCTACTAATGCATTCAACTGCTTTTTTGGTTCACATACATGGTCATAAAAATAACGATCTCCACATTTTTAACAAGCCCCTCTCACAGGATTACCAGAGTTCTTACCCGAAACAACATCAGGATTATTATGCTTAGGAAGCATTGGAGGCTTGGTAGTCTCCCAGGACCTTCGGCAGCAAGCATTGATCCTACTTATTTCTTACAGGACCTTCGGCTTCCTAGGGAAGTTACTACGACTGATATGAATGATTTTCTGACTTCTTTGGCTTAAACATAAGCATGCAGGACAGTAGCCCGTGACTTGCCCCTTGTTGACTAATGAAACAGACAAGTTTTGCATAGGTCACAACTGTGACTCGTGCACTGTCTCAGGTATAAATGATTTTTCTTCACTTTTGAAGAGGGGAAGCTAGGTTTTTAGTTGGAAACATCATGGGGCGTTCCAAAGAAAAGGAGACCGATCTTGGAGTGATATTGGATGTTTGCATTATCATTAGAGTTTAAAGAACAAGTCTTGACACAAAGATTGAAGATATGGAGATGATTATTGTGTTCTCTCTACTCTCTATTGAATAGTTTCCTTTCACTTATGTTTTGAGGAATGCTAGCAATGTTTTGCTTGACTGGATGATTGAATGAGTATTCTACCTTGATAATTATGAGTTCATATTCAATCTATGATTGTTTTTTGTGATTCAATTCAACTTTATACGAGATTATTGATTCTGCTTTGACTCTACGAGAGGGAATATCTGATTAGGTCAATAGAGCACCATGGATTGGAAGTAGGAGATTGATAACACGAGAAAGAGTCAATTCATTGCTATTCATTGAGTGATAACCTCATCCAATAGAGGGACTATAAGGTAGAACGCCTTAATCTCCCCAAGCAATCGACTCAAGTAGGGCTGTAACTGTGGCCCATACTACCCGTCAGCCTAGCCCGGCCCGGCCCAACCCTGTGGGTCGGGTAGGGTAAATTAGTCTTTAGGGTCAAAATAGGGTCGGGTCACATTCTAACCCTAGAGGGTAGGGTACTTTTACCCTTAAAACCCATTCAGACCCATATTAACCCTAACACCCTAGTTACCCAACCCATTTCGGCTCATCTCTCCTTTTCTCGCAATATGACGACTGCCGACGAGTTTTCGAATCCCTTTCCCCGGACGCCATTGTCGACGATTTCTCCAAAATAGTAGTTCCCTTTTTTCTCCCGCAATTTCCCTCTGCCGTCCGGAAAGAATTCCCTCGCCTTCTCCCTCTTCTCCTGTTCTCTGTAGGGAGCCTGCAAACCCTAGCTTTTCTTATCAATCGGCAAACTTGCGTTCTCCATTTGGCTGCTGCTGGCTCTGCGCCTCATTGCTGGCCCGAATTCCTTGTCGACAACGAACCACAGGAACATCATCTCGGTTGCAAAGCTCTGGTTCCACGGTGAGATTGATGGGTGAGGAGGGAAAATCGAGAGCTAGCTAGCTAGTTTCACTTCTTTAGGTGGTGGATCTGTGAGTTTCATTCATTGCTTCAGGTCCGAGACTCAGAATAGCTTTCATTGTCTTATTATTGAATTTAATTGATTTTTTTTTGGTTTCTTTAGTAGCTGATTGATTGGGGTGTTTTCAAGTCGATCTTTTTTTTGTATCTTCCAAATTTCAAGCTTTCTGCTATGCTTCAGTGGGGTTTTTGTTGCTTTGGCGATCTTGCTTTAAATGGTGTGATCGCTTATGTGAGTGGTGGTGTTTATGAGTACTAGATGATGAATGTTTGAGGCCAAACCCTTGAAAATGGGGTGGTCTTTTACTGGGTCTTGATTGTTGATTGCCAGGATTTGTGCTGCAATATGGTTCTTTGTATGATGCTTTTTGTGTTTGTGGGCAATTGTTTGTTAGTTAGTAAGAACATCATCTGTAAATGTTTGCTGCACACTACAATGCTTCTTAGCTTTTGTGCATCCTGGTTCAAGATGACTGTTGAGATGACTGTAGATATACGTCTTCTGGTTGGAAGTTAAGTCACTATGAGGTTGAGGTTTCAAGTTAATCCTCTGCTTTTATACAGCTTAGGTTGTTTATGGCTGCTGGTTTCAGTATGATTGTGCGGACATGTCATGGTTAGTAATGATTCTACTTTCAGGATTCGATTCAAACCTTTCGTGACGAGGTTGAGATGAATCATGAATGTATTCTTTTCCTGGGATGGAGTGGTATGGTTTTGTTAGAGTGAAGTCGTAGCTCGTTTTGGAGCTGTTATCTATGTTTCATTGTAACCGGATGAATGTTTTCTCTTGTGTTGTGGTTGCTGTGATGGGATGATTGTTGGCAGGATGCTCGTTAACTTTCCTGAGTTAATCGGGGTTCGTTTATTGTTCTGTTTTTCAAGTACATTGTTTGCCATGGAACGTCAGCTCTGTGAACAATTGCTGGGTTCCTTGTTTTATGTTTACTGATATTAATTTTTTGTGTTCTGACCATGTACATGTTATGGTATTGGAGAAGCTGAAGACTATAGGGAGTCTGGATTCGTTGATACCGTTTCATAGTGCGACGGGGAATGCCCGCCTTATTTCCAGCATTGCAGCTGATTCCTCTTGATGGAGCTGGCTTTCTCAAGGTGATTTCTCTATATTTCAAGTTACCCTATTTTTCCAATCTGATTTTAGAATGCCGGTTCTTCTGCTATGTTTAGTTTATATTATCAGTCATTTTGGAGTGCTAAATATTTGTTATTTGTCCTTTGACTATCATGATGCATACTTCTATATAACATGGTTGAATGCACAATTGCTGTTGCCGTGAGATAGAAGTTATGAGTTTTGCTCTGAACAATTTGCTTGGTTTGAGACATCTGATCAATGTTAACTTCTATGAGTTCCATCGATTTGAAATGAGTTCGTTAGTTGTGTTGTTCGCATCTTGACAGTTACTAGTTGAACTTTTTTCCTGCAATGATCTGTCGTCTCTAATTTATGTTCAAGGTTGTGGATGAGGCCCTTAACTACTCTCTGAGTTCATCTAATTATGATAGAAACCCGGATTGGGAGTCTATCGAGTGCTAGAGAATGGTGAGACTAGTGTGAGCACCATGTGGTGATCACGGGTGGTGAAGAGGGAAGAAAATGGAAGAAGAAGTTCGAGAAGTGAAGGAGAGGGAAAGAAGAGAAGCTGTGGCAGCAGCTAGGGAAAGGAGAAGAAGGTTTCGGCTGGAGGAAAGGAAGAAGAGGGATTAGGGTAAACTATTCTTTAGGTTTAATCATGCTTCGTGGCTTAATCCCACTTACAATAATATTCATATAAAACGGATAGTTCTCTAATGCTACCCAACTTATTCCATTTCCCCAACTAATCCCTCAAATTTCCGAAATAATAATAAGAAGCATAAACCGACAATTCAATCCAACAATGTCTAAATAACAAAAATGCAGGTTTCTATCAACCCCGCCTCCTTGGAATCAACCTTGACCTCAAGGTTGGCTCGAGCTCACATGGTCTCGCCCTTTTTGTTCCCGCCATCCACTGCGTCATCCTCCCATCGTCCCACGAGCATCATCAGATCTGGCTTCAGACACTGGTGACCCACCGTGAAGCGCCCATCGTAGTTGAAACACCTGCCCTCCCTCCTCTTCTACTCTATCTCCGCCGATGACAGCCTGACAAAACCCTTAGGAGGTGTTCTCGGTCCTGCACGGGCCGTTGTCGCCACCGCGCCGCCTCCACCTTGTCCCGCCACGCTGCTACTGCCTCCTCCACTCGGCTTCTGGTAACGGCCTATGGTCCCCCTCCAACTAGTGAGCTCTTCTTCTTTGTAACCTGCAAGGCGAAAAGCAGTTCTCATGGAGTCGGGTTCGAAGACCTGGAATGCCGTAGCGATCTCCGGTTTCAAATCGGCCATACATAGCCCCACTAGTGTCTCCTCGGGAACTCCCTTGCACTGGTTGCCCAACTTGAGGAACTCCGTTCTGTACTCTGCTACCGACCCGGTTTGCCTCAACATGGCCAACTGTTCTGGTGGCCACCCTTATGATTTGCCGAATTGGTACCTTAACTCCTCCTGGAACTTTGGCCAAGTAATCAATGTCCCATTAGCACCATAGGACCTCTCCAACCACTCGCACCAGTGCAGAACATCTCCCTCAAGGTAGAAAGACGCCAGGTGCGCCTTCCTCTCCTCCTTCGTGGGATGATTTTTGAACCACCTGTCCGCGGAATACAACCACAAACCTGCATCCTCCTGACCATTGAATCTCGGGAACTCAATGGTCGGGGGTTTAGCTCTGAACACAAGCTCATTATCATTATCATAATGGTACCTACCATACCTGCCGATCCTAGGAGTCCTTCCACGGTAGTCCCTAGGGCCTCGAAAGTCCCGCTCCCGATTCCACCTCCACTCGTCCTCCTCTCTGTACTGCTCGTACCGATCTGTCTCTCCTAGTCGCCCTTGGCCCGTTGGGAAGTCCTTGTTCAGCTACTGACCGGTACCTGGCGGACCCGAGTAAGGGTGATATCGTCCACCCATACCGTCCTGTGTGCCCCGCCAGTTCGCGAGGGCCCTGCTGCCCGTGCCTGTCATTGGCTGCCCGCCCCGGTTGGAGTCAATTGCCACCCAGTCTTCCTCACTCCATCCCAGCCGGTCCGGTCCGAACCGCGCTCCTTCAGTGCCTCGGATCCGCCCCGCTACACCCCGGGTCGAATCACCTCCCATCTCGGTTTGATTCATCAAGCTCAACCTGTCTCCTTCCGGACGCAACTCCTTGTTCATCCAGCCCAGCCCATGCCGATCCACTGCAGGCCCAGACTCTCCTTCATAGGCTTACAAACCCAGCAGCTCGAAACCCGGGTTTTGAACCACATTGTCGTACCCGGAGCCTTGGCCTTACCGCGAAGAGCAGCAATCTCCTCCGCGGTCGCCGTAGGCAACAACCCGGCCTTGCCACATGTTTCGCCCAGCTCCAGATCGGCGCGCCCCACGCCCGCGGTCCCCACGATGATCGCCGCCGATCCGCCCTCCGCCGCGCGCGCCCTCTGCCACTTCCGCCGCGACGCCTCCTCCCCCGGCGGCAGCGTCCCCCTTCGCGGCGACCGGTAGTGACGCCGTACCCGACGCCACGACCCCGTCACGGTCACCGTCGAGTCCAAGGAAGGCCATCATCTTCCGCTGCCCTTCTTGTATCTCGATCACGGTCCTTGTCAACACGTCCATAGCCTTCCTTGAGTCTTCCATATCTGAATCGAACTTCAGCTGCACCACCTTGAGTTTTTCCTTGTCGGTCACGTCCACGAAAGTAACGCGGTCCACAGATTCATCTTCCTTCTGCGTCGAAGCCTTCGAAGTGGCTTCCTTGGCTGTACCCTGGCCGGCGGCCTTCTTTGCCGCGACTTCCGGCTTCTGGGCTGCTGCGTCGGTGTATGACTTCTCCATGGCAGCCTTCTCGGCCACTGTCTGGGATTTCGTCACCGCCATTGTCTTTCCGTTGAACCTGCTCTGATACCAGATGATAGAAACCCGGATTGGGAGTCTATTGAGTGCTAGAGAATGGTGAGACGAGCGTGAGCACCAGGTGGTGATCACGGGTGGTGAAGAGGGAAGAAAATGGAAGAAGAAGTTCGAGAAGTGAAGGAGAGGGAAAGAAGAGAAGCTGCGGCCGCAGCTCGGGAAAGGAGAAGAAGTTTTTGGCTGGAGGAAAGGAAGAAGAGGGATTAGGGTAAACTATTCTTTAGGTTTAGTCATGCTTTGTGGCTTAATCCCACTTACAATAATATTTATATAAAACGGATAGTTCTCTAATGCTACCCAGCTTATTCCATTTCCCCAACTAATCCCTCAAATTTCCGAAATAATAATAAGAAGCATAAACCGACAATTCAATCCAACGATGTCTAAATAATAAAAATGCAGGTTTCTATCAAATTAGTATTTGATAATTGTGCAGGTAATCCTAACGCCTACTCATCCGGCAATTAGTGGTGTTAAATGCTTAACGTGAAGAGATGTACTTAACATGAAGAGATATGCTTAGTGGTGTTAAATGATGCATATTTTATAATTATGGATGAATTTAGTATTTTGATTTTGCATGTGCATATGAGATAATATTACCAAGCTGATATTGGTCCTACACTGGGCCCACCTTGAACATTTTAGGGTCTTTTTTTGCGAAGAACGAGTGAGTCATGCTGATGGGTTATGCCCACGGGAGACCGCTTGTCTTCACAACCCATCCCTTGTAATTAGATCAATTACCCAACTACAACCACATGCATTTGATTGTTCGTCATGAGACCATAGTAACTACCACCTTGATTTGTGGTCAGAATTGGCATCGATTGAGTACTCTTTCAATTTTTCTTATTATCCAAGATAAGCCCCTAGGGCATGGCCGGTCAACACAATTATAAGAAAGACACTAAAAGAACGGTAGTTCGTATGCAACCGGACTCCCGATAAAAGAGCCTATTTTGCCATGAGGTGGGAGCTCTGTTGAAACTACGAGGAGCAAAAAGACACGAGACGGATAGGAAGGAGGAAAGGAGAGAGTGAACTTCCTCTAATTTGATCAACAATGTATTAATTTGATCAACAATGTGGTTTTAACACTTTATCATTTGTTTATACTATTATTAATTTATTTGTGGTTTTGTTAATTTTGCAGAGTTAAAAGAGTTTTGCTTGGATGATAGTACTATTTTGAGTGATTTGGTTGATAATGATTGAAAGATGGTATATTTGATATTATGAGCGATGTATTTGATGAATTGCGAAATTGTGTACTTTTTTTTACGTACTTTGCATTTTTTTATTTGATTTGGATTTATTGTAAGGTAATTTTGACCTTTTAGATGTAATTCGCATTTTGTTTATTTGATTTGGATTTATCGTAAGGTAATTTAGACTTTTTAGCTGTAATTTGCATTTTTTATTTGATTTGGATTTATCGTAAGGTGATTTAGACTTTTTAGATGTAATTTTAATTTTCTGGAATTAATTTTGAGTTTTTCGAATTAATTAGGATTTTTTGTATAGGAATTTGGACCAACTTAAATTTTCTGGAATTAGTTGGAATTTTTGTAATCAAACATTTGTTTTTTGAATTAGTTTAAATAATTTCTTTATTTAATTTAGATTATTTTTGTTATGAACTCATTTAAATTTTTTAGTATATACCTGCAATTTTTTGAAATTTAATTTGATATTAAATAGTTAAGTGAGCTAATATTGTATAAAAAGAAGTTGGGCTGACCCTATGGCTCGACCCGACCCAGCCCAGCCCGACCCAACAGGGCCAAAGGAAAATAGGGTCGGGCCAAATATATGAGCATACATGGCTGGTTTTTTTTTGTGTAGTGGCAGGGTCAGGGCTGGGTTTGGCCCAGTTTCACCCCTAAACCAGAGGGCCTTGATTTCTTTAGTCGAGATTCAAGGTATAGTCAAAAGATTTTCCTCATTATTAATGAAGAGGGAATCAAGTTAGTGAATCATCAATTATTGATACAGTTAGTTGCTAGGGGAATCATAACCTGAATGGGCTCCCAAATTGTACTTAGCTAGTTTAACCCTTAGAGTAATAGTACAACGAGAGACTCGTGAATTCAACATTTTATTACTTGTGCCACTATATTGTAGTCTCTTTAACAGGTTACACCTGGCCTGTGTTACAATTTTAGTAGTCCGACTTCAATTCATAATGATAAACTGCTACACCTTATCCCCATATTTTAAGAGTGAATTCAACTGACTTTGTGGTTTGTAGCGAAGACGATTCCTCCAAGAAACTCAATGTTCTCCAAAATTTGTCGTCCCTGGAGTATTCACAGCTAGCAACGGGAGGCAATTACTTTCATAGGAGAAATGGATAGGCTAGAGTAGGGTGCATAACCATGCACAACTAAATCTAAATTCTCGTTGTTGAGTGGGGCCAAATCTAATGGGAGATCAAAATAATTTTTCTTTTTCCTTTTTTTCAATAAACTTGTATCTTCTTTATTTTATTTCAAAATTAATGTTTTTTACACGATGGATCAGACTCATTGTGATCCAAAAAATATATTCATTTTAGATAAATTTCCAGAGAAAAAATAGTACCACAAATTATCACTCTGGCACCACATGGTACAATGTGTAACTTAGGTTTTTAGCTCACTTCCATACCACTATGTAAATATTTTATGTACTACTAAGCATTACCAGCTTAGTGCAAACTGATAATACATAGCTCAATATTTTTTGTTTCAAAATACATCAAAGTGGGTAAAATTTTGAAGAACATAACTAATATGATTTTTCGGTGCAAACGATTTGAATTCTACCTTAAAACGAAAGATATACAACTCGTTGAATTTAATCGGAGAAAGTGTTATGTATGATCAATAACCAACATAACATTGTGAGGATCTCCAATGTGTGGGTGGTTTGTGGAAATAATCAATTCAATTTTTGATTAATTTGACTATCATCTATAACAGAATAAGCCGTGACCAACAATAAAACAATTGGCTAAAATCAGTGACCAGTAAAAACTGGAAAAGTTTTGAGTGAGAATCTTGAAATAAGTGATAAAAGGAGTGACCTAAAGTGTAACTTACTATACCTTGTGCAACACGCAAAAGCGGAGTAGGAAGGGCGGGAAAACCCACCTCTCATCTTCAGAGCGGAAACGGGAGAAAAAAGAAGGGAAATTGGTCGGTGCCGTGACTGCTGAGTGCTCTGCTACCTCCATTTCTTGATTTCTTCCACAGTATAAGCACTTGAGCAAACGAACAATCCCACAAATCTGCAGCAACTTACAACCCCAGTTTCCGAAATCCCCAATTTCAGTTCTCAGTCCACCCCATGGATCCTCCGCGCACCCCCAAGGTCGGCGTCTTCGCTTCCGCTTCCGCTTCCGCAGCCGACGCCCCGCCCCCGCCGGACGGCTCCCAGTCCGGCCCTCCCGATACTGTTCCCTCTTCCCTTCCCGCCATCGCCCACCTTAAGCCTCCTGGCACTTCCATCTCTTCGGTCACGATTCCTCCTCCGGCCCATTCCCCCGTACCTCCGTGTCCTCGCCGCCGCGACTCGTCCATCGTCGCCGGTGTTGCAAGCAGCGAGCCGGCAAGAACTGGATTGACTACTGTTTCTAATGTCCACCATTCGGCTGATATTTCGGGTATGATCTTCTTGAATTTCGGCGTTTCTACTCCACTTTCGCGTTTCTTTTCGTTACCCGGATTGGGATGAAATATGCCGAATCCGATGAAGAACATCTTACTTTACTGATTAGTTTAGGCCAGTTGAATACTCTACGGGCTACCGATTTCTATTGTTCTAACGCAACCCAGGACAGCCAGTATCAGTTAAAACGATGGTCGCATATAGAATATCTTTTGATTCTTGAGTTTCTTGACGCTTTAGGATATTTCTGGTTGCTGGGTTAGTTTTTCTTGCGAGCGAGGTTTATGGGTTAGTTTTTCTGATTCACGAGTTAGCTCGCATAGCGGCAGTTGTACCTTGTACGTCTCTGTGCTTCTCTACCCTTTACACACGATCGAGTCATGACTTCGCCTTACTCCTTTAGACCCTTTGAGGAACTGAGTTTAAGAGACTCTTGGTATATGCTAGAAATAATCTCTTCCCCTATGGAAGAGGTACTTACCCTGATATGTGGAGTAACGAATAAATGATGTAGAGGTGTTAATGTTATAGTGCGGTGTTTCTGATTGAACGGGGCATAATTGCAGGGAACCCTAGTGGAGCATCAAGTAAAATTCAAGATGAGAAGCCTAAACAGTCAAACCCTTTGAGAGAGAAAGCCAGCGATGCTGGAAGGCTTGCACTTCAAGAATCTCTGCCGGCTGCAAAAGCAACAGCTAAAGGTACTTGAGACTGATGTGTACATCTGCTAATGATGTTCCTATGGCTGTCTGTGATGTATGGTGTTAGTGCCTCAGTTAAGGATCCTATTATAACCCTTGCAATGTGCTATGGTTATCACTGGTATCCATCTTATCAGGTGATGGTGCTAAGGTGGGGCCGGTTCCTATGCATGGGTTTGTGGTTGCTGCAAATACAGAAGCAGTTGAAGTACCAAAGCATCATTTCCATCGCCAGATAAATGATATAGCTATTCATGCGAAAAAAGACACTGACAGCCAACTGAAGAAGGGCAAGGATAAAGACGTCCCTCAATCAAACATGCAGTATGACGACAAGAGTGGAGTGGAGAAGGCCCATATAGCTGTTCCTATCTGCAAGGTATGTACAGCAAAGTTTCTATTTTTATTCGAACTTTCATTGTCTCTTGTTTTGCAGCTATTTCTCTTGGCAGAAACCTTTTCGAGTGATGGACTGAATGCTTTTGCTTTGACTAGATAGAGTACCAACCATGTTAGTTTAGTGCGAACAGATTCCACTCATGGTCCCCTGTTTCTATGTCCTGTTATGCTTCCCTATGTTGTTAGATGAGGTAATTTCCAACTAAACATAGAACTCATTAGTTGACAACTCTTTTGCCATCAGGGTACTACAACGGACAAAGCAGGCAACTCACATACCGAGTCCAAAACACTCGCTCCTCAAACTGCCAGATTAATTACCTTATATGAAAGGTAAGTCCACCTCAGATATTAGGTTCTTAGTTAGCTGTGTAACTGAACATGTAGCTTTCTCCATTTCCCAGGTATGTTAAGCAGCCATGTGTTGTTGACTATGTGAATCGTGTCATGGACGAAAGGATCTTCTCCTTGATGTTACTCATTGCTAAAGCAAGAATCGAGAGAATGTCAAACTCTTTGTCCACTCAAGCAGTTTCTCGGGATTTGGAATCGAGGTTTCTAAGAGAGAATGTGGCAAGTTTTGAGACTCACATTAATGGTCTGAAGACCGAGTTACAGGATTTGAAGAAAAAGATCATTGAGAAGCTTCCCGCTGTGAATGCTGATCCTGCTGTCGATCCCTCTTTGGCCATTGAGAACAACATTGTTGAGGTAATTTGTGTTTGTTATGTCAGTGATTGATTTAAAGGGTTTTGGGAGGGATTACATAATATAGCCATACTCTTTCTTCGGAGCAGGTTTCAACGGACACAGCCCGTAAGTCCACCCGCACGAGTACACAAACAGCACTCCCAGTTGAGAATTTCGCTCTTTGGATGCGAAGGTAAGCTCATCTATTTCATTCTTTCGATATTAGTTTGCTAGTTACCATTGGGTAACTTATTAATATGCAACTGTTTTTATTTTTCAGGTGGTATGATGATTTAAAAAAGCGGGTGCAAGGGGGGATTCTTTCGTACGAGAAGAGTGTTAGAAGCGAAACTAATCAGTCATTCGTAACATTCATTTTCAGAGAGAAGGAGTTGCTAACTGATAACCGGGCCAAGATTTTGGATGTATGGGAGACTCAGGTTTCTGCCCAGAAGACAGAATTAGAAGCTTGGGAGAGAAAGCTTATTCAAGAGTGTGCAACTTTTTCATCTCCCCCACCAGTGGATACTGGTCAGCAGACCTTTGGTGATGAGGCTGTAGCTCGGAGAAACAGGACGCCCTTCACGTTAGAAGAAATGAAAGAACTTGTTGACGGCTACGAGGAGCACGGCCCAAAGTAAGTGCTAGCTACTCTCTTTATATATTTTCTCTATTTCCTCTTCTGACTTGTATTGGTTAGTCTAAACATTTCGTCCTATTAATTAAGGTGGACAAAGATCAGGGACACGAGAAAATTCAAACCCATTCGAACACCAGGGGACCTTGCAGATAAATTTAAGAATATGGTCGATTCTGCTAAGCTGAATGCAAAAGATAGAAGAGGTGAAGAGGTGGTGCCTCAAGAACTCCTGGATCGGGTTAAGGACTTACATGTGCTGAAGTCGAAGAAGCACAAAAGGGGCACACAATAGAGTTCGTTATTCGCCCAAGGCAGGCAATTGTGGACGGATTAAGGGACAGTGTGATTGGCTTCTCTGAGTATGTACCTGGTACATGGACATGGTACTGGTGACACACTACTTTGACACCATGAAGGAAATTTGTTGTTGTGGTTCTCTCTTTGCTTTGAACAAGATGGTTATGGATGAAAATAGTTGGCTATGTTGGTTTTCCTCTCTTTTCACAACAGATATGAGGTCTTCTGCTTTTTACATGTATAGCATACATATACCTACAAGCTAGGTTTGAGAATGACTATGAATTGGTTTATGTTTGATGGGATATTAGGATTTGTGATGGACAATAATTGGTAATTCCTGCAGTATATCTTGTTGACTCGAGAAAGAGGACACCTTTGCTTTCTGCCATTTGGGTTTTTGTACTACTAGAATCAACACCCACGGCTACGCCGCGGGGACTTAAGTTGCAACAATATCATCTTGTAATAAGTAGTGAGAAGGTTGTGTAGGTGACTTGCAATGGGACGGTATGAGAAAATGAGTTTTTGAAAGGAGAACTTAATATCCGCAACAACGAAAAGGAAGCAGATACAGTGAGTATATTACATTGATTAGATGACACATGAAAGGGCATCTTCCAACAAAGGAGAGCTTAATTATCATCCGAAGCAATACATGAACTTTCCATTATAGCCTTAAAATAACATCTCCCAGAAAGCTTCTCATTAAACTTGATTTTGAAAATTCTAATATTCACTACAGTAACATGAATAGATTATGAGTTTGACAAAATGGCTTCAAAAGAATGCTGAAATTGACAATCAACAAAAGGCATTTATTACACAGGCGAGACCAACCTCCAAATTGAAAAGAAAAGAACGATTTCTCTCCTAACCACTCGGATCAATGTCTGAAGACCTCTTACAATTCAAAATTTGAGCAATTTTGGAATAAGTCGTGTAAAGTTGCTCTCACAATCCATTAAGTGTAGTTTTTATCTCGTGCGAAACCATAAACAATTTCGTCAGTTCCATGTAATCCACCCTCAGGAGTCAGGCGTCATTTTCCTATGCACTTTTGGAGCTAGAACCTGTACCATGCAGAAAAAGTTCACACGTTATATTTCAAACTGCTATGAATGAACTTGAAATATTGAACTAAAAAACTGAACTAAAAAATTGATGCAAAGCAACTGAGACACCATTCCAGGTGAGCCAGAAATCTTTGCATACAATACTGAAATCGATGCACTAAATTGAGAAATAGGTAGCAGAAAATGGTAGACTAAGCTTGCAAGTCCCTTCATTTCCTATTCTCACTGTTGCACTCCTTTGTCCATAACCAATATGAATCAATCAAGCACTTAATGAAGCACTCCAATCAAACAAAACTAACAAAAGAATTCAGTATCCCAGAAGGCCAGAACATTCAAATAGAAGAAGAAAACTTACCTATGTTTCTGAATTCATTCCAAACCTCAAGCATCTTGTCTCCGCTACTGGAGTTGCCGAGAAAAATTACATGCTCTTCATCTGCAAAGGGCATTTTTCGGGCACCAGAAATGTCTTGAGAAGGCTTGCTGGTTTTATCTGGTTAAACCATTGTTTTGGGTTATTTACGTGACGAAGGAGAGATCTTAGGAGAAGTCAAGACAGTGCTTACCTCCTTGTTCCACCACAGTTTTGGGTTTACTAACAGAATTAATTGGAAGAGTCAGCATGCAAACCTTATTGCAAGTGGTTATTGGATAATATAAATACTCTCACTTGCCTTCTCACTTGAAGAACCAACCATAAATAATAAGCAAGCACCCAAGATCACATCAATTGGACAGGGTGTCAGGGTTGGGACATCAGAACCTGTTACAACATAAAAGTTTGGCATGAACATCAGAGAAATTTCATAAGCAGCAAGGTTTACAATGCAAGACATTTGGGTGCAAAGTTACCATTCAAGGACAAATCAACATAAAGCTCCTAGTAACCTTTTTTTTTTATTTTTTGTACAATCTGCAGACACAAACTGTCATCATCATTTATGAGGAACTCAATGCCCACAAATGATCACAACTTAGAAATGGCGATATATAACTGAGATAACAAAAACCATATTTGGGCAAGAACACTCCAGCTCCATCGAGAGCCTGATCTTAGCTTTTATTGACGGTCATGGCATAGCAAATTTGGATAAGGAATTGCCTTTTCTTCATCGTAAAAGGTCATCTTTCACCATGAATATTTAAAGCAATTCTCAATATAGCAATCAAACCATGCAAAATAATAATAATAATAATAATAATAGTGAATAGCATTAAAGAGAAGAGAAAGGAACTACACAGAAATGAGAGTTGTGCAAAGCAAGGTATGAGTCGCCTCATACCAGATAAGACACAACACCATCACCAAGCAAAAATCAAAAAGAAGATACCAACAGTAAAAGAGCATGGTGGTAATTTTAATTACCATTAACCTGATGATCTTATACAATTCTGCAATCGTTAAGGAAGAAAGAACACTTACCATATGCCTAAGAACGAATCCTGCAAGCTTAAATGAGAGGAAAAAATACAAATTTTCAATAGAAAAAGTTTAAAAGTAATCTAAACACAACTCTTTTGTTTTTGGTACAACACATGAAAACAGAGGGAATTGGTTAATTCTTAACCTTTCAATGACAAACTTATTACATAATGCTCTTTGGCTCGTCCTACAACCCTCCACCAGAACTTCTGTATTTTGTCCAAGTCCATCTGGTGTTTGAAACTGGAATAAAAATGTCAAACATCATTAGATTTGCAGCCAACGATAATAGCATAAGTGCATAACCCATCTTGTGAAAGTGTAAAGCGAGGCATCAAGCATAAACTTCGTTGGATTGTATTAGCCGGACTTAGAGCCCGAATAGGAGAACAGCGAAGCAGACAAAGAGCAAACCAAATATAAACCCATGAAGCAACAAATAGCATTAAGAATAACTGTTACCCAAGTGGGTTGAAACAAAACTCAGAAAACAAATAGAAGCAATTAGAAACAGAAACTGTAAAAAATAATCACTTGTACCCATCCACCATTTCAAAGACACAGAACATCACTAACCTTTGCATGTATCTTTGATTTCAACGGAAGTTGTGACACGGTTGTCCACTCCCCTCGCTTGAGTGTGCATACTCTCAAACGTTGTTATCGAATCCATGCTAATTGAACCAATTTCTTGGCACCGAAAACCCGGAGGTCACTGCCGTTTTCTTTCATTGGGTTTAGAGAGAGACACAGAAGAGAGGGAGAAACTTTGCGAGGAACATTGGGGGGTTTCAGACAAAGGAAAGCGGAAGATATGGTTAAACTGGGTTGGGTAGTGGGAAAGGAGTTGACTTGTGATATGGGTTCCTCCATGGATGTTGGCGTGTTGAAAGAAGTTGTGTGGCAAAGTGGGTTGCAGATGAGAGAAAGAAGAGAAGTGCTCGTACAATTGATGGATGGTAGCGTGTCGGGCAGAAGCGGAGATGTATATTGAGCGGGAAAGCAAGGTCCCTGGGAAAGAGCCCAAGACTTTTTGTTATGGTCGAAGGACGAAAGGACTGAAGGGGGCCCCGAACTTGCAGATCTTTTTGCAAGTCCGCGGTAGACGTACGGAACGGATGGGCGATGAATCGAGCGAGATCAGGCGGTGGGAGAATGGTGATTTGACCAATGAAGGGGCGGGAGTGCGGACGAAAGGACTGAAGGGGGCCCCGAACTTGCAGATCTTTTTGCAAGTCCGCGGTAGACGTACGGAACGGATGGGCAATGAATCGAGCGAGATCAGGCGGTGGGAGAATGGTGATTTGACCAATGAAGGGGCGGGAGTGCGGCAGACGGCGACGACTCCATCGTGGGGAGCAACCTGAAAGAGGAACCAGAAACCCTTTTGGAGTAAACGACAAAAAGTGAAACAGTAGTTACAATTTAGGGCAATAAAGGGTACCCAGCTTTCATGTATAAAAGAATTAGAGCATATGACATTGAACAGCTTGTTCAATTTTTCAACCTAGGAAAGTTCAGCTCCATTTTATTCAATGTGGTCGTTCATACTTGCATAATTTCTCGAAATTGACCTGTTCGCAGGATCAACCGGAGACAAAGGTACTATGAAACAATAATGAAACTAGTCATTTGGACAGCTATCCTTACTGATTATGCAGAGGTGATACTTTCCATATGTACACTGGAACCCAAATGAGCCCTCTGTTCCATGGCAGAAAGGACAATGCTAGGCCGACCTTGGAGAGTCTACGGTTGTTGTCACTGATGCTGAGATCAACCTCTGCTGAAGCGGCAAACACCAGCTTCTCCGACAGCTCCAGCTTTTAACCTTGAAAAAGATAGGGAATTATTAGAGGGACAGGGTGTGGATAGTATAACAACACCCTTAGTGTTGTTATACTAACAACATTATTCATTAAGGGTATAAGGGTAAATTTATCTAAAATCTAATAAAATAATAATTAAATTATATTTAGCCTACCCACCCGTCCCCTTCACACTCTCGTTGGATCCCTGCCAGCTTTCCCTAAAAAATCGAAACCCTCATCGGTGTTTCAACTCCGTCGTCACTCAAATCGCGGCCTCCGAGGCCGGAGATGAAGAATCCTCATCCATGGCGAATCAACCATCGCAGGCGTCGCAATAAGAATGTTTTTGTCTCCACCACCAATCTCGCTGATGGAATGTCGTCTTCTTCCTCGTGAGTTTCAGCGAAACTCACCTTCTCCACACTGCCGCTGCGCCTCTCCCAAGCCATTTCTCCCCCCATCGATGGCGTCCTCAGTTGTAGATCTCGTCACGGCGGCGCCTCGCAAACCCGATCTCCAGCAACGGCCTTCCCGCCGGGAAATGAAAAGTGATGATGGATCTCTGAAATCTGGTGACGAAGTTTCCATCATGGAGGTCAGAGAATGCGGGCTTACCTTACATTTATTATCTGTTCTCATGGCTGGAGTTGGGTTTGATTGGCAAGTTGCAAAGATCACTGGTGAAGAATGGAAAAACCTGACGGAGAAGAAGAAAGCTCCTTATGAAGAGGTCTGTTCATGACTAGAGACCCATCCAAACCAGTCCTTGTACAGTGTTAGTAGCATTGCAGGTTGTCTAACAGCCTTCTGGTCTTTGTGCAGATGGCAAAGAAGAACAAGGAGAAATACTTGATTAAGATGGAGGCTTACAAGCTGAAAAAGGATGAAGAAGGACTCGGTACCTGCTGGCTTTCCGTCTAATACCTGTCAGTTTAAAATTGTGTAGCTTGTGCGAGTGGCTCACATTATTCAATCTCGGTGCTTGTGTAGTTCACGGTGATAACTTTGGTGGAAAAAGAATGAGGAAGCTTACACAAAGACGAGCAGTTGATTACACAAGTACCGCTGTCCGGTATTAGCGGTATATGCAGGTAATGCATTCTGCTTTTGTTTCTACATTGCTGTGCTTTAACCATATCTAGAGTCCTGTGATGTCAAGTTTTGAGTGAATGTTAAGGGCTTCAGTAAAAGGCATTGTCTAGTCACTTGGCATCTGTTGACCGTTTTATTGATTGCGATGAATTGATGGAGGCTTTCCTTGATACTTCAAAGAAAAAGGAGAAGACATAGAACATAATCAAGGTATTTCTGCTCTCTAACATCTATATGTCCTTGATTGAGCTTATAATTGTAGCTAAAGAAGCCTGCATCCTCTTTCTGGATTGTAATGTGTAAATGATATCTAAATGGTGACATAGTGCAAGTATTTTGACTTCAGACTAACATTCTCTCCAAATATGGGAAAACACATGCATCTACTTAAGCATTCCCAGATAAGCACCATAGATTCCAAGTTCTGATAGAACAGGATCTTTATGACAATTTCCATCCCACACCAAAAACATGACAAGACTCGGTAGTAAAGATATGTTTCATAAGGATGTAGGCATCATTCTGTTTTTGTTTCCAATCTTTCGGAAGTCTAAGAAAAGTTGGCCTCGCAGCATCACCATACATATTGTTCATTGGCAAAACAATGTAAAACAAATATGTTAACAAAGCATAGAATTAAAGAAATCCCGAACCTTTAGGGGCCATCTAGGCGCTACTTCACAACTGTGCTAAGATATGGTTCGTTTGTTGAAAGATTACAATGTTAAGTTCATTGATGAAAGCTGACCAAAAACCTCATAATGCATACCACAAATTCCCTAAAATAAACCACAAACCTAACAAAGCAAACCACAACATTTGAGAAAGCACACCAGAAACCTCCTAATGCAAACCACAAACCGTAAAGCAAACCACAAAAAAGGAAATCAGAAAACTCGCAAAGCAAACCACAAATATATTAAAACAAACCAGAAACCCCACAAAGCAAACCACAAAAGTTTCGAAAACACACCAAAAACTTCTTAATGCAAACTAGAAACCTTCTAATGCATACCACAAATCTCCTAAAACAAACCACAAACCTCACAAAGCAAACCACAACATTTGCGAAAACACACCAGAAATCTCCTAATGCAAACCACAAACACAGTAAATCAAACCACAAAAAAGCAAACCATAAACGCCCCAATGCAGACCACAAACATATTAAAACAAACCAGAAACCTCACAAAGCATACCCCAGAATTTTCAAAAACACACCAAAAACCTCATAATGCAAACCACAAACACGTTAAAGCAAACCACAAAAACAAACCAGAAACCTCCTAATGCATACCACAAATCTCCTAAAACAAACCACAAACCCCTCAATGCAAAACACAAATTTTTTGAAAACAAACCAGAAACTTCTCAATGCAAACCACAAACACGATAAAGCAAACCAAAAACTTTTCAATGCAAACCACAAACGCGATAAAGCAAACCACAAAAGGCATACAAAAATGTGAGAAACCAAACTATAAATCTCATAATGAAGACCATAACATCCGGTGGTCGTTGACCGTTGACCAAACTCCGATGACCGTCAGTGAGCCAATTCCGACGCCGATTGGCATATTCCGGCCCCGATGACTAGATTCTGACGCCGGTAAGCATATTCCGACCACGGTGAGCATATTCCGATGACAAAATAGCATATTCCGGCGACAAAAAACATATTCCGGTGACCGGCGACCAAAATTTTGGGCAGAAAATTAAAAATATTTTTTATTATTTTTTATTTTTTTATAATGAAAATTATACCCTTGCTTTGATTTTACACTAGGTCAACTCAACTAATAAAAAGTCATCACAACCCTAGCTTCCTATTGGTTGGAGACAAGTGTTGTTACAATAACAACAAAATGAGTGTTGTTATAGTATCTAGTCCCACAGGGACAATAGTTATGAAGAAAGGGATTTTTTTTATGGTTTATGGGGTTGAATAAGCAAAGGTTTTCGTGGATAAAGTGTAGTGAATTCGCTCATTCAATCACTCAATCCCTAGGAGATTATCGATGAAACCTTCAAAACCTCGATTATAGGGAGTTACTTGCTGTGTTTACTGCTTTTTGCGGAACGGTGTAGCACTCATAACCTAGAAATTACAGGAAAAGTTTCGGGGTAGATATTTAATTGTGTTTTGTTCCGAAAATGATATTGCAAGAAGCAAAAAAAGATACTGCAAGAAGCAGAACAGGTCTTGCAAGAAACCAAGATTCAAATTGAAAAAGCAAAGAAAAAATATCTCACATTAGAAGAGATGCTGGGTGTGATGTCAAAGGCGGTAAAAGCTTATGCGTCGCTGCAATCAATACCTAGTATTTTTATTACCTCCTCTGATCCAGATATTGCTACGCTGTATAATAAGATCATATTTTATCTTGTTCATGCACATAACGAGATAGTCGATATCACAGCCATCGAGATATTTTATTAAAATAAGGATCTTGTTGATAGAACGAGTAAATTGGAGGATAAACTCCGCTCAAGCTTGGATGCTACCGAAAAGGTAATCTCTCTTTACCCATCCCCAGATTTGGTTAAGATCAAGGGCAACATTGCCAGTAAACTAGCAGAAGTGAAACAAGTAAGCGTTGATCAGGTAGAGAGAACTATAGAACTCGCCAGCCAAAGAAGAGCTCAAAGATGTGCCGAACTTTAACAATAAAGCCCGAGAATGTCGCAAAAACAAACTTTTTGATGATTCATATAAGTGGAAAATGCGTATTTTTGAGAGCTCGTGCAGGTATAGGTGTCAAAACATAGCCCGACCCGATTAACCCGCCCGATCAACCCGACCCGCAACCCTACCGCAACCCGAATTGACTAAAAGTCAACAACCCGTAACCAGCCCGACCCGCAACCTAATTGACCCGCAACCAAACTAACCCGCAACCCGAATGACCCGCAACCCGATTAACCCGAACCCGACTGACCCGCAACCCGATTAACCCGAACCCGACTAACCCGAACCCGACTAACCCGTAACCCGACCGACTCAACCCGAATTTCATCTAACCCACTTGATAATTATAAAAATATACAATACATAGTTTTTCAAAATAAAGTTTTTCATTCTAAACTTAAGTAAAATTATTTTTTCATTTCGTATAGGAAATTTAAAAAATATGAAACTCACTTGATATTACGTATTTTAAGAAAATTACCAAAATTGAAACATGAAGGTCACTTGAGATCATGACAATATTAATATAATATATAAATTAAAATTTTGGTTAATTTAACTATTCAATAAAATTATCAATTAAATATAAATAAAGTAAAGTAATATATTTCGTAATTTGATGTTTTTAAAAGAAGAGGGAAATTTTGGTGTATTCAAGTTTTTGGGAAGAGAAAAAAGAGGGAAATTTGGTACTTTGAATTTTTTTAGAAAAGAAACTAGTGGGAATTTTAGTGGTTTTGATATGTGGGAAGAAAAAGAAGTGGGAAAGTTTGATTCTTTTGATTATGAAAGAAAAATAAGGAGGGAAACTTTTGATTTTTCAACTTTTTGTAGAAGGAAAGAAGAGGGTAATTTGGTTCTTTCAATTTTATGGAAGAGAAAGAAGAGGAAAAATTGAGTTTTTCTAATGTATGGAAGGAGAAAGAAGGAGGGAAATTTTAGTATTTTTGTGAAAAGAAAGAAGGAAACAAATTTGGTGTTTTCAATTTTTTGGTTTTTCATAATTTTAGCTTTTGAAATATGAATCTTTAACTTTTATATGGAGGGCATGACTAGTTAAAATTATTCTTATATGCTTTGAAGGCTAATATGTATATATGTATGTAATTATTTATGGGCTAATAAATGAATGAACCATTAGTTACAACAATTTATACTAAACTTGATAAGTAATCTTTGACGGTTCGTTGTTTAGGATATAAAGTATATGGTTAGGGTATAAGGTATAAGGTACATATGGTTTAGGGTGTATATGGTTAGGGTATAAGATATTGATGGTTTTGACGGTTCTAAGTTTTTTATTAACATATGTTCACTTGAAGTCATTTGAAGTCTTTAACGGCAGGAGATCCCGTTTTAATTTATGTTTATGGTACGTGGTTAGTGTACAAGGTATGTGGTGTAAAGTATAGGATATATGGTCAGGGTATAACAATTAGCAAATATCACTTTTTATCTATGTTTTGAAAATCAAAGTATGAATTTCACTTTTAAATTAACTATACTAGCAAAATCACAACTCAATGACATATGGTTAGGGTATAGGTTATGTGGTTAGTGTATAATGTATTGATGGTTTAGGGTATACAATCAACAACATATACTAACTTAATATTGTTGATTGAGGGTAAGGCTAAGTGTACAGGATATATGCTATTGAGTAAGTTATAATTGAAGTCACAATAATTTTTAGGATAATTCGATTTTTAGGATAATTCGAACAATTTTACAAATAACTCGTTTGGCAACAGTTTACTGAAGTTATTTGGGCAATGAGTTATTTTGAAATAACTCCTTTTATCACTATGCTTTTGCCAATTACCACACGCCAAATATCAGATTTGCATGGTTATACTAAACGAGATACTTTAATTCAATTACTACTGAATTAATACTAAAATATCAAATAAACAATTAACGGTGTCTTTTGGTTGCAAATATTGATATCACCATTACTATTAGCTATAATACTTTACCAATTATGATTAATTACATAACAAGTTTGCAAGTCATACAAATTGATTTAAAATTTTGACTAGTTTTTTTTTCAAAAAAATAAAGTATATATATACGAGGTAGAAATAAATTGGTTAAAAAGTTGAGAAAATATTTTAAATTAGTGTAATAAAATGTGTACGTTGGTAATGAGTAATGAGTTAAGTTACTTGATGCGCTGGCCCGAACAACCCGAAACCCGACCCGCCCGCAACCCGGCCGACCCAAAACCCGATGAACCCGCAACCCGATTTGCCCGCAACCCAATTGAACCCGAACCCGATGAATCCGCAACCCGACTAACCCGCAACCCGTTTGAACCTGAACCCGAACTCGCAACCCGACTAACTCGCAACCCGTTTGAACCCGAACCCGATTGAACCCAGCCCGAACCCGCCCGATTGACACCTATGTGTGCAGGTGGGCTGTTTAGATCACAGTATAGCACCTTGCCCAATGTTGAGGGCAACACGAGCGCCGTTATATCCCGCTTTCTGGATTCTAAGAATACGATATCTTTAGCGAATAAACATTTTAATGATGAACACGATATCTCGGGTAAAGAAGAGGAAGAGTGGGCAAAATCTTTCAATTTTGATACAAGAGTATCTAAAGCTCGGGAACTTATTAACGAAGCCTATATACTCTACAACAAGGCCAGATTTTCCTTATCACGCGTCTCGCTTTTTCTTGCTGGCTACCCTAAATCTTCTGTGAGTGAAGTTTCATCAAAGCGGGGTGTCCTTATGGATGAAGCAAAGTCTTATACTGCTCGGTACCGGTAGCCGACGATCAAAGGAACCAAGTAAGCCGTGATATTAGCAAACGCCTCTGCACCATAGAAGCCAGTCTTGCGGATGGGGAGAGTTATCTACAACTAAGAGTACTTTAAATTATTACAATCCGACGAGGGTAGCACGATAGCATGATATAATCCAAATTGGATCAATCTATAAGTCATAATTGCTTGATCGAGAAGCAATCTCAATCACTAACAAAGATCCTGATTTTGTCTAAGTGTTTTAACTATTTTAGGTAGCCCACTTGGTGAGCTTGGTTCACACATTTGGCTCACTAGAAATTGGAGTTGGGAGTTTGTTTTGAAGATAAAGTTTCCCTCTTTAAGATGGCATGGTTTTTGGATCAAGGAGAAGTCATTAAGGTTGTTTTCCAAGGTCTCAAAGTTGCTACCCCAAAACCGGAGTACTGCCAGATTTTGGCCAAGTATGGAAGGCAGTTCGGGAAGCTCACTTTGAAGGCTTATTCGAGGAAGATGGCTGTGATTCGAGTACTGAGGGTTACACCGCATGAAAATGTATGTATCATTTACTACAGAGACATGGGATTGGTTGATCGAAACCCTACCTTGAAGCCTTCGAACGAAAGATTGCAAGATTGTACGAAGACTGGCTGAAACTATCTTGCAGAGTCAGCAATCCTTTTCCTTTGAGGATTAGGATTTCTTTTAACCTTGTTATGTTCGAGTTAGAATTTCGAGTCTGTTTATGTTTTGGTCTTTCGTATTAGTTGTTTAGCTAGCCAAGGTCTTTTTAAACCTTTCAGTTACGTTGTAATCGTTAGATTATGTTCAATTGAATACAAACCCAAGTTTGATCCATCTAGCTTTGCTATGTGAGTTGAGAGGAGTGAGTTAGATGAGTTCTAGGTTGCTTGAGAGCTTGTATCGATCAATCAACACCTTGATCGTGGCCAAACATCATTTTATCTATTTCGAGCCTTTCTCCTTTGTGTGGAAATGCATGAGATCAACCATCCCTAACCATCGAATCAACCCCCTGTTTACTTGAGTTTGAGAATTGAGTTAATCTCAATTCGTTGCTGCGCGATTCTGGATACAAAGACCCATCTAGGGCCCTGTCATAGTGAAGTGAGATAGCCGCAAACAAACCAAGAGCCAAATGGTGTTGGTTTCCGTTGATGGTAAGGTGTCTCCTTACGCTAAAGGAGATGCTTTAGAGGATGGAGACCATATCGGTTATAGCTATACCTCATACGCTGAGCTTCCTCGCATTGATACAGGGGAGGCTTTTAACGGCTTGAGTGGCAAGAAGAGGCGAGTGCATGATGCGAGTGTTCGTGTCATCAACACCAGTAATTTAGAAGTAGGAACTTCTTTTGAAACGATGCGATTTGTCAAAGATTTAAAAGGTAAAGCGAAAACAGGGGAGTTTTATATTCCCATAGCTGGAGATTTTACCACGGATGATAGCCTTTGCTTTCGTCAAACTACTCCAAGCTCTGGCATTATTACCGCATTTATTTCCCATTTTAAGGCGGGAGGATAACTAAATGGATCCAGTAACCACCTATGCACTTATTTCAGGGGGATTAGCAGTAGCATGACGCGTTTTGTCGATGATTGCCACAGAACAAAGGAGCGGAAGAAGAAACTACCAAGCAACGGGCGGTAATATTTTGTCTTTAAGTTCTTCACTTTGATTCGACCAAGGCGAAACCGCTGTTTGGTTTCTTGTGAGTTGAATGAATGAACAAGGTGTTATCACTATCGGTTTAGAAAATCTCGGAGCTTTTAATCCCCTTGCTCTACCCCCTGGATTGACAACATCATCCAACTTTTCCATGACAAAATGGTCAAAAGCAGACTTCGTGTACCAGAGGTTTTGAAATGGAACAATGGTGTTTAGAGTTTCATTGACGGCTCTTGCTTGAGCTTGATCTTTCTTCTTTCGATTGTCTTCGTTATAAACCTCGTAGAGAGCCGTCCCTAGCCTACCCGCTTGAGCTGGCGCAAGACCTAATATATCCTATGCACTTTTCCCACCTAGGGGACTGAATCTTTCATAATGTTCCACTACATTCAGTACAGCTTTTGCATAACATAAGGGATAGGTGATATAAAACCCTGACTCTTCACCAAAACGTTTGCCCGATATACATTTGCAGGTATCCCCATCCTCCTCCTACCATACTATTAGGACCCTCTATCAAGTGCATTCTTGCTAATGAGGAATTGGCTAACCAGCCAACATAAGTTCCCTCCTAATCCTCGCCTTGCTATATACTTAGTATCTTGCATGGTTGCTGATTCAGGCCTAATTGTACGCCTTTTATCCCAGTTTTCCTTGGGATTTTGTGGCATTTGTACTCCTAAAAGGGTGGTTTTACGCTAGGTTTCTTGTGTTTTAGCGTGTTTGAGGATCTAACAGGTGAAACCAGCCCCGGAGTCGAATGTTGGAAGAAACGGAGCAAAGATCGGGCAAAGAGGGTGTTTCAGGCATCATTCACGGTTTTACATGGGAGTTCACGGTCTTGTAAGACCGTGAATTGGAAGCATAGACCGTGAACCGCAAGGTGTCCTGGGCGTTTTCGGAGGTTGCTGACGTTGAGTGAATTCACGGTCACTAAGACTGTGAACTGGAGCTGTTACCCGTGAACCCAAGCAAGTGAAGCGGTGCGTTTTGACGCAACACGCTTAGTTCATGGACGCGTGGAGGAGTTCACGACCGTGAACTAGAACCATGAACTGAGCTCGATCCCTGTATAAAATGTGAGCTGAAAGAACGAGAGAAGGGAGAGCCCAAGTGTGAGAAAGTGTCTTCTTCTACAAATTTTAGAGAGAGAAAGAACGAACCAATGAAGAAAGAAGGCTAGGGTTTGCTCCAAGTGGTGGATTGGGAAGAATCTCCCCAAGAGAAGATCAACACAAGCTCAAAAGAGATTGGAGGCATCACCATGATGGTTTAAATTTCTTTCTCTTGTGTTCTTCCCCTTTCTAACATGGAGTAGATTGCTTTTTCACTTGGGTGTTGTGAAACCCTAACTATTTGCCATGTAGTGGTTGTGTGGATTGAATGATTTTTTATGGATGTTGTTTAATTTAATGAATGATGTATTTTTCATTATAATTTTGCATGTTTGTGCTTGACAATCCAAATTAGCCATTCTAACCTAGGCTAGAGGGAAAATCCCCTTTCAAAGGAGGGTCAATTGAGTTGGGATTCCTTGGGCTTTTCAAGCTGCCTGCCTAGGTTAATGTAGGACAAACCTCTATCTTGATTTAAACTACGAGGTTAAGCGCAATTAAGCCGTCCAACCATTGGGTTGAGTGAGAGAGTAAGTCAACCCTCGATTTCCTTTGAGTAGCCTATAATGTATCCCTTGGTTTGGAAATCGAGAGTATGGTCTTCGACCATAGTTGCATTTCCTAGCGGTTCGCGGTTGTCTCGCTATAACGGTCCATTCGATTCCACGTGCCATGGTAGTAGTTCGGAGGAAGCGACACCCGAGTGATCCTTCTCTTATAGAGCTTTCAAAACCATTTACTTTTGCTTTGCTTTACTTTAATCCTCATACTTTTCAACCAAAACCAATCCGCTAGATAATGTTTCAAACAATTGAAGTAGCGGTACATGGACTAACCCAGGTTGATATTTAAACATACTTGCCCTATATTGCATCCTACTAAGGTTTATACTTGGGCCTTAGGTGAGATATTATTATGATATTCGGGACGAGTCTAGTTTTTGGCGCCATTGGCGGGGAGCTTTAGTCCGTTATCTTGAATAAGTTGTTTGGTGTTAATCTAGCTGTTAATTTCTAGTTTTGAAAGTGTTAGTGGTTTGCTTGTGCTAGACTTGGTGTTGTTCTCTAAGTGTGTGTAGTAAGGTGTATGACCCGCAACAATCCAACGCCTTTAATACCGGGGGACGAGAACATCAACTGAACTCTCCGACTCCTAGTACGGGAGAGGGAGTTAGCGGAAGCAAGTAGGAGAAGTGAAGAAAGGGGAAAACAATTTGGTCCCGGTGTTAGTGGAGAAGTGGAAGGAGTTGAAGGTGAACGTGATATTGGAGTCGAAATGGGGAAGAGCCAACAAGAAGGGGGAGCCTCCCAAGTTCACATCCAAAATGACGCGGCAGAAGAGGAAGTCCCAAGGACAATGGGATACTATATGGCCTCACGGACGGCGGACATACAATCACCGATCTTGCACCCGCCCGTGGCGGCCAACAATTTCGAGATCAAGTCGCCTCTAGTGACTATGATGCAGAACAATGCTTTTTTCCACGGGCACATAAGCGAGTCATCGAGGGAGCATGTGCAAAGATTTCTTGAACTCGCGGGGAGTTTGAAGATCAATGGCGTGTCGGGGGAGGCTTTGCAACTAAGGCTTTTCCCCTACTCACTTTCGGAGAAGGCACTCCGATGGCTCAAAAATTGACCACCTCGTTCAGTCACCTCGTGGGATGATCTTCTCAACAAATTTATGACCCGCTATTGCTCGCCTTCGAAGATGGTCAAGTGGAGAAAGAAGATCACCCATTTTGAGCAAGATGAAGATGAGACCTTGAGAGATGCTTGGGAAAGATTCTCCGATTATCACCATGGATTCGATGAGCAATTTCGGATTGAAACTTTCTACGGTGGACTTATACATGAAGACAAGATTCTCTTTGACTCCCTTTGCCAAGGGAGATTGATGAATATGACCCCACCTCAAGTGACCGATTTGCTCGAAGACATGGCTCTCAAAGGATACGAGATACGATTGGGGCTTGACGAGAAGTGGGAAGAGAAGCAATGAAAGAGGAGTGAGAAGTGTGGGAGCAAGTGCTCCACTTGAAGCGAAGCTTGACAAGTTGATCGAGGTAATTCTTGAAGACGATAAGCAAGGGAAGAGAGCGGTGATGTCTTGTGATTGGTGTTCAAGCACTAGCCATGAGATGGCGGAGTGCCAAGCAATGAAGGAGGCAAACACTCCGGAGGCACAAGTCAATTTCGTGGACAACGCTAGGGGTAATAACCCGTATATCAATACTTATAATCCTGGAAGGAGAAATCATCCTAATTTTTCTTAGTCGTCCCAGACTAATCCGCGACCCCTGGGGTTTCAAGGCCCCACGGTAAATTATCAACCTCGGCCAACCTTCATCCAACAAAGGCATCAATTCCAAAACTCGAGCTTCCAACAACCATACCAAGCACAAGGTTGTCAAGGGTTTCAATACCAACCCAACAAGTTATCCAAACTTGAAGACCTAGTGAACACCTTTGTGAGCACGAGTGCTCAAAAGTTCGAGAAGATTGAGCAATTTATGGATGTGGCAACTACCAAGTTTACCTCGGTTGAGGCGGGACTCCGAAGACATCAAGCGAGCCTTCAAAGTTTGGAGGTGTAAATCGGCAATCTTGCCGGGATCCTCCCCGAGAGACCAAAGGGAGCTCTACCCTCTCAAACCGTGGAAAACCACAAGGATCATTCCAGGGTGCATGCAATTCAATTGAGAAGTGGGAAGGTGACTCCGAGAGTTGTCTCTAAAGAAGTGATTGAGAAGGAAGATTCCAACCCCAAGGATGGAGATGAAGAGCCCTCGAGGGGAGAGAAAGAAATGGCAAGGAAGGCTTCGCCGCCGCCATCTCCGATGATTAAGTACAAGGCGCCCCCCTTTTTCCCCACAAGGATGTATAAGGAGAGGTTGGAAAAGGAATGTGGAGGTTTCATGGAAATTCTCTGAAACCTCCACCTCAATATTCCTTTCCTTGAAGCCATGGCTCACATGCCAAGATATGCAAAGTACCTCAAAGGATTCCTCACCAAGAAACCGAAGTTTGAAGACCTCGCCAACGCGACTCTTGGCGAGGAGTGCTCGAATTTTCTCCTCAACCGCTTGCCCAAAAAGCGGTCTGACCCAGGTAGCTTTACTATCCCTCTTAGTATTGGCAACTATCACATAGGAAATGCCTTGGAGGATTTAGGAGCTAGTGTTAATGTGATGCCCTATAAGATTTTCAAAAAGTTAGAAGTAGGTGAACTCAAGACCACTAAGTTTAGCATCACTTTAGCCGACCGTTCGGTCATTAATCCTAGGGGCAACATGAAGGACATGTTAGTGCGAGTAGGCAAGTTTTGCTATCCGAATGATTTTGTGATCCTCGATATAAGTGAAGACTCGGACTTGACACTCATACTAGGTCGTCCCTTCCTTGCCACCGCCAAGGCATTGATTGATGTTAATGAGGGGACCTTAATTCTGAGGGATGGTGAGGAGAGGATCACTCTTGAAATTGAACCTAAGGTTAGAAGTGAGGATGTGAAGGAATTGGTATCAGATGATTTGAATGTGAGTGGAGGAGAGCCTTTCAAGGCGAACCCCACTATTACTTGTATTACTTGTGGTGATGTTGAGCAGGAAGTCAAAGAGGGTACTAAGACCAAGGAAAGGAAGAAGAAAGCTTGGAGGGAAAATATGAAGCAAGCTTTGGCCCGAAGGAAGGAGAAGGGCAAAGCTAAGGTCGTCGGCCAAGAAGGCCACCTTATGGAGCGTAAGTTGGGAGGCTACTTGCCTCGCCCCAAGAGCGTGGTGGATCCACTCTCGGTGGCATCACGCTCCAAGACGTGATTGATCCTCAACCGTCAAGCTAATGACGATAACTTAGCGCTTGTTGGGAGGCAACCTAATGGAGGTTTGTTTTCTTTTCCTTATTTTCGATTTTGTGTTAAGTGAAAAGTTCAAGTGGTCGAGTGGTATCCCCGTGCCAAGTTTTGTGGTTTTGCGTTTTAAGGTTGTGTTGTGGTCATTAGGAGGCACGATGGAATAGGTCGAGTCAAATTTGTTTTAGAAGTGCCCTGTTTTCACTTGAGTTCACTGGCAGATTGCAGTGTTCACTGTCTTACAAGACCGTGAACAGGCAAATGCGTCCGTGAACAAGGCACTTCTGCATGTGCAGCACCTGTCGACCAACCCCAGCTCACGGAAGAATTTGAGTGTTCACGGTCTCTAAGAATGTGAACAGGCCAACGCGTCCGTGAACTCCGTGCTTCGCCTATAAAAGGGGCGTGAACGGCAACTCTTCACTTCACGACCCAAATCTTGCCGGAAAACCGCACAAATCCGATGGTTTTTCAAAATTTCACCCATTTCCGGCGAGCAAAACCTAAAACCAACCGCATACCCATTCTCCCCTCATCAAAACTGGTCTGTGCTGAGATTTTGGGGAGATTTGGGGCAAGTTTCTTCCGGAAAACTCGTCGGTGGTGAGTCTCCGACGAGCTTCCGATGAAGCTCCAACAACCACTCTACGGTATGTTTTTCAGCCATTTTTTGCCTTCCTCGCCCGCACCTCACTTCCTCCTACGTCCCATTTGAGTCTCCAGGTTGGTTTTTCATCTCTTCCTTATTTATTTTGGGAGAATCAGATTAGGTAGTGAAATGAGAATAATTTTTAGTGCCTTGAATGTTGAATCTAGAATTAGGGCGAGGAATCAGGTTGATTGAATGGTGAAATGATGTTGCATGAGCCAAGTTGAGCCTTGTTGGGTGTGTTTGAATCGAATTGCTTTTATTTGTAGAATTTGCCCACCAAGTGCTAATTTGTGAATGAATGTGAAGTTTTTATGATTGTGTGGTGGATGGTAGCCACCGTGGCATGGGTTGGGGTTCAATTTTTTGTGTAGATGAACCATGAAATACTCGCAATCGTGCCACGATGTGCTTTACCTTAAATGTTGCAATCTGTAGTGGAAATATTAGTTGTGATTGATGATTGTTTCCACGTATGGTGTATGTTTGTCGATTTTGCATGATGCTTAACTTGGAGCACGAGTACATCAACTACTTGGTGCATCATGCACCGTTTGGCGACAAGTTTGCCTACTAGACCGACAACCCGATTGGGCCACATTGGCGGCTGGAACTGAACATGTTCAACCTGTTCAGGTGCCGAGCTGCGATGTCCGGGGTCGTTTGTCATCCCTAGTAGCGCCAGCTGGTGACGATGGACGAGCAAATCTACCACGAGCTCTACGTGGAGTTCTACTCCTCCTTCTCCCACGCCGTCCCGTCTAGCAAGAAGAGTCGGCTGCACGTGGAGTTTATGCTGGGAGGTCAGCCACGAGTGCTGACCTATGATGCCTTTGCTCAGGACATCGGCTCGACATTACACATTTGATGATGACGGAGCGGCAGAACACAGTCGACTTCCACTACCAGGCAGCATTCCAGGCCCTCTGCCACCCGGAGCATGAGTAGGAGTTCGAGGGGAGCCGCACCATTGCGGTGAAGGTGAGGACCCCTTGGAGGATCATCCACACCTTGCTCACCCGCTCGGTCATCCCCAGCCTGCAGTCAGGCCATCTGATGACCAACAGAGGGCTACTTGCTTTCTATTCCATGAAGAGTCCAGCAAAGCTGAACCACCTACGATCACTAATTGCCACCTCTTTCACCCGGTGTCTGGGGAAGAACAAGGTGGACACCATGCACAGGATTGCCCGATATTTTCACGTGGATTTGGCGCGATGCTCCATCATCGAGAGGGCGGAGCCCTTCCCAGTAGCGACCCTTTATAACCAGAGGCTAGTACTCCAGAAAGATCGGGGTGTTGAGTACCTCGATGGACTCCGACCATCAGGAGTCATGCGAGCAGCCGTTGATCTGGCTCTAGTGGAGCCCCATCCAGAGGTCACACCTCCAGCGCAGCCACCTGCTCGAGCACCCAGCCACCGTCGGTGTCCTGCACTCCAGCGCCCTGCACAGCCAGTAGCAACAACAGCATCAGAAGGTGATCCCCTCGTCCAGAGGGCGAATTGCCTCGAGACAACTTTGTGGGAGTGAATTCCCTCCTTGATCGGCAGACCCACCTCCTCGAGCTGATCGCTCGACGCTAGAGCCTCCTTACAGATGATGGAGAAGGTCCTTCTACCCACGAGAGGTAGCCGACTAGTGAGACATGTGGCAGAGCCGATTTCTTTCTTTTATGTTTGTGTGACCATAAATTACTACTATCGTATTGTGTTGTGTAATAACCTCGCCTTGAATGAGCCGTATTGTGTTTGTATATGTTTGTTTTTGTCTTCTCCTTGAAGCTCAAATCCCCTATCCCGGAAACAATTCTAACTTTCACTCACTAGCCAAGCGTTAACATCATTATGCCCCTATCTTATGCCATTGAGGGCAATGTCGAGCATAAGTGTGTGTGTGTGTGGGGGGGGGGGGGGGTAGTTTATTATTATGCTTGTGTGAGTATGATGGATGCTTAGAGCCTTGATGTATGCCCAAATTTTAAAAATTTGAGGGCTCCAAGCAATGTTTGCATGATCAAAGTGGTCAGTGTGTGGGAAAATCTCGTGTTTATTGGCATTAACCTTGAATTGTTGCATGTGAACGAGTATGTCCTATGATGATGACTGAGAGGTGCATTAGGATAGTGCAAAGGTTTACTCCTCATGTGCCTAAATGAATGGATGTCTTGAATCGGTTACTTGTTGATTACAATTGCCATGCATGTTGTTTTGTGAATTGGAATAGATGGTTGGGTGACTAGGTAGCCATGTGAGCTTTGAGCCGATCGTTTTCTTCTTGTGTGCTTAGATCCCTCTTACCATGGCGAGTAACATTGATGACTCAATATTTACACATGTTTTTGTCCACCATTCTTATACCGTTTGAGCCTCATTTATGGTGTTTTAAACCGATTTCACGCTAGGGTGCTCTTGTTTGTGATATATCAGGTGAACTTCATTTGGTGTACATGCTGCAGACACCTGCTCTTCCGATTTGGTGCAGGTTGTGTCTAAACTGGTCTCAACCATCGATCAGAATGGGATGGTTCCAGGGACAAGGCAGCAGTAGGCCATGCGTTGCTAGTGGTGCAAGAGCTCCCATCATATTGTAGAAGACTGCCAGGCCATGCTTGAGTCCAATACCTCACAGGAGCAGGTGAACTTCATCAACAATGCTAGGTGCAATTACCCCTAATGTAATACTTACAACGAGGGATGGCGCCAGCATCCAAATTTCTCATGGAGTGGCAACAACAATCCCAAGCCACCTTGCTTCCAGGATCCAACAACTAGTTTTCAAAACCAGAGGCAGCCATACCAGCCTCTTTATCAGCCCAGACAGGGGGAGGCTTTTCAACAACCCCCACAACAGCAACAGTACCACCAACCTGGTGCATCTCCATCAGTCCCAGCACCGGGCAATCTCGTGTCAGAACTGCGGGGTTTAGTGACCACTTTGGCCAGCACTAGTACCCAAAAGTTCAATAAATTGGAGCAATTCATGAAAGTGGTTGCAAGCAAAATCATAGAAATCGAAGCTAGCCAGAGGAACCAGCAGGCACTCCTGCAGGATATGGACACCAAAATCGCGCACTTGGCGGATGCTCTTGCTTCCCGACCGACTGGCACACTTCCTGGCCAACCCCTGCCGAATCCCAGAAATCAAAAGGAAGGGTTACACGCCATCACGCTGAGAAGTGGGACTGTAATTGAAGATGCACCGCCGAGGAGTGCAAAGAAGGTGACATAGATCACACCAGAGCCGGAAGAGGACTTGGTGGTGGAAGAGGAGCCAGAGGCTCGAGCTCCATAGCCATAGCCAGTAGTGACTGAATATAAGCCTAAGCTCCCTTTTCCCACCAGGATGTACAAAACAGGCTTGAGGCAAAGTTTGGCAATTTTCTGTCCATGCTTAGGAAGCTGATGTTCAAGTGCCCCTCATGGAGGAACTATCTTAGATGCCTAAGTATGCAAAGTTCCCGAAGGATCTTCTCTCGAAGAAGCAGAAGGTGAGCGAGCTGGCCACTGTGGAGTTGAGTGAGGAGTGCTCGGCCATTCTGCAGAACAAGCTTCCGCCAAAGTAGAAGGACCCAGGTAGTTTTACTATCCCGTGCTCTATTGGTAAATTGCATGTAGAGAGGTCCTTGGCGGATCTAGGTGTTAGTATCAATGTTATACCATATAAATTGTTCAAGAAACTAGGCCTAGGTGAACCCAGTGCAACTAGGATGAGTATTCAATTAGCTGACCAATCTGTAGTTCATGCTAGGGACATAGTGGAAGACCTCATGGTTAAGGTTGGCAAATTCTTTTATTCTGTGGATTTTGTTATCTTGATATCAATGAAGACGCAAAAGTGCCCCTTATACTAGGAAGGCCTTTCCTGGTCACCGCCAAGGCTCTCATAGATGTGCATGATGGGACCTTAGTCTTGAGCGATGGCGAGGAGCAGATAACATTTTCCATTGCTAATAATATGATTGCTATCTCTCCTGTGCATGCCTTATCTCACCAGGTGCACGAGTCTGTCGTGTATCCTTCTGTGGCCTTCGTTTTGCAGGACCCTCACCTCATTCCTTCGCCGCCACTCCCGTCCGTAATGTTCCCAAAAGTAAAGATCAAGGAGGAGTGGCGGCCGAAACGCAGGTAGCTAAGCCTACTTAAAAGAAAGCCGGAGACCACTATGTGCTGGCCCCGCCTCCTGAGCCACGACCGCCCTGGCCATCCGAGTATTCAGTCGCTTGCATCCTATCGGACCCGTCGTGTGCATGGCCACCATCTGAAGTTGTACCTCAAGAGCGATGTGGATCCGCTCTTCGAGGAACCTGTTCCTACACCGCTCTGAGCATCCACCCTCTGCTTCCATCTAAATACGTAAAAGAAGTGCTTGTGGGGTGGCAACCCCACCACGGTTTGTTGTTCTTTTGTTTGTTTTTTGGTTTTTCCACTTGGAACTGTGGTTTCTATCACCCATTGTGTTTTGATGACTCTAGCTCTGTCCTTTTGGAATGGTCCCCTTTCCCATCTCCGGTAGTCCGTTTTCCCAGTAACATCGTTCCCCTTAGCTTTCCCTCTTCTCCATTGAGGGCAATGCATGCTTAAGTGTGTGTCTGTGTGTGTGTGTAGGGGGGGGGGGATTATCTTTGACTGCATAGATGAGTTTGTGTGCTTGGAGCCTAGTCCACTGTCCAATTTGATGAATTGAGGGCTCCAAGTACTGTTCCTTGCAATATCCTGCTCAGTATGCTTTGAATTGACAGTCTTTATGGTGATATGCAACCTAGGGAGGTAGTTGTAGCACTATGGAGGATGTTGAAGTATAAGATTTTTCCTATATGTCTCTCTACTGGATTTAGGACCGTTGATTCATGTGGTATTGATGAATCTCCTTATATTGTGTTCTGGACTCGTGTATCGAAAAAGGGTGCTCAAGTGTGTAATGATAAAGCTGTTGGTCTTCCATGTAAAAAATTTGTAATTTTAAGACATAGGGTAAGCCCAACGTGTTTGGCACCGTTCATTGCACAAAATTGGGTTTTGGAAGAGATTTTAGTGATCCTTAGTGGGATGTACCCCTACAAGGTGAAGCTAAGCCGTCTCTAGTACAAGTAAATTTCCACCCGTTGAACGGTTTGCCTACTTGAGGATGTGTTTTTAAGGGCATATATAGAGCTTCCGACACCCCTTAATTTCATTGACCCCCCACACGTAGTGTGGAAAAGGACTTAAAAGCAGTATTCTGGCGAGCAACAGATGTACATAAATTGATCTTTCTCACCTAATAAGGGCCGACCGAGCATGAAAATTGCAGTTGGAATCCCAGTAAAGTAAAGCAAAAGAAAAAAAATGAGAATGAATAATACGAAAAAGGGGCTTCCAAGTTGGTTGTTGAGTTGTGTGAGTCTCCTTATCCATGAATTGGTTGTCTTAGTTGCACTCCTTCTCATGATCCTGGTTTGAGTCTAGTACTCGCATTGAGAGAGATAGGGGATGTCTTAGAAGACTAGTTGACCTCGTAAGTGGCTAAATGATCTAGAAAATCCTCTGCCGACGATCGGGCTTGCATGTTGTTATAAAGGTCCAGAGAGTTGCATTGTTTTGAGTCAGGTTTGCTTGGGGACAAGCAAACAGTTAAGTGTGGGGGAATTTGATGACTCAATATTCACACATGTTTTTGTCCACCATTCTTATACTGTTTGAGCCTCATTTCTGGTGTTTAAAACCGATTTCACGCTAGGGTGCTCTTGTTTGTGATATTTCAGGTCCTAGTACGTGAATGAAGGTTTGAGCACGAGTTCGGGGTCGATTGGGCGTAATCGGGACGAGCGAGGGAGAGCAGATAAGTTGCACAGCCAGTACGGGAAAGCACACGACCGTGTAAAGTGACCTTTTTGGCCGTGCGGGACTTACCGAGATTGCGCACGGTCTGACCCTGTTTTTTGCAAGGCCGTGCTCGCTGAATTTGTGGCCATGGTGAATTCTGCGAGAGAGCTGCACGGCCAGGCTCTCGGATTGCACGGGCCGTGCAATGGTCTGGCACTCCCCTCGTGGAACTAATTGAAACTCTGCGTTTTGTGGTGCACGGGAGACTAGAAGGTTGCACGGCCCTACGGTGTGGCCGTGCAATCGCGGGCAGCTGCATCTTAACCCAATTTTGGGTTTTGGAGAAGGGGATTCAGCTTTTTGGAGCAAAAACAGAGTTCTAGAGAGATAAAGTGCGAAGAACAAACCCTAGGAGCTATTTGGAGTGGATTTCTCACCATTGAAGCCTAGATTGCATCCTCAGAAGTGAAGATTGACATCCCAGAGCAGATTATTCCCATCTTTATGAGTATGACTGCTTTGATTTCTGTTTTCCTCTCTCTCTCTCTATCTCTCTCTCTCTCTCTCTCTCTCTCTACGGAGTAGACCCTTCTCTCACTTGGGTATGAAGAACCCTAGTTCCATGTGTTAGGGATATCGATTGTATGCTTAGATCCCTCTTACCATGGCGAGTAACATCACAGTTGTCACTAGTCAGTATGATGGAGGCATAGGATTAGTCCACGCCCAAATGTTGATAGTCCCGAAATGTGTTATCCCTTAGTCAACCCCTTTGAGCCTTGTGACTTCAAGGGTCGTTCTTGTGTTAGGAGCTTCTTGCTTGTAACTTGTAAGCTTAATGGTGTTGATAGAACGACCATCAATCCTTTCTTCGTGTCTATACATGAGTCTTCCTTGTGTCCCGGAGCTCTCGTTTTTTAGTTCCATTGAGGTTCTACATAGGAGGATTGTGTGCGGTTCTTCCTAGGAATGAGAAAAAGGAAGTGTAGTGTGGAGTGAGTTTTTAAAAAGAGAGCATTGGTCGTTAAATGTAAAGGTGGCAAGTGTTTTACTCTCTAGAACCCCCCTCAAAAAGAAAAAGAAAAAAAGAAAAAAGGAAAGAAAAAGGAATCTAAAAAGAAGTAATAAAATGGGGTAATAAAGTAGAAAATGCCACAGAAACCAAAGTGTATGCTCTAGGAGGGGTTTCTTGGCACTCAAGCCATTGAGACCCCCACATTGTTTTAGAACTCCTTCACTACCAAATTGAAATGTGATAGCAAGAGTAGATCGATGGAGAGTGCTTAAATGTAGTTCATCATGGGTGATAGTTTGGAGGGGAGAAATAAGGTTTTTGGCCGATGCTAATGGCCATTGCTTGTAGAGAAGCTTCTTAATCAAAACCATAGAACCTTCGGGTTTAGATTGAAGATGTAGAACCTCGTGTCGTGTTTGCCACCACCCAAAAGGCATTTTCCCCATGTCCAAGAAAATTGCCAGTCATTTGAATCCGTGTCCAAGACCTCCGGATAAGCTAGTGATGAAAATCATTCCGTGAACTCTATCATTTAGAGGTTGCCGTCGTGGTATTGAGACGATAGGGCAAAGTATTGATGATTGTGCAGATCTTTTGCACCAAAAAGGTCCCGACCCCACTGGTCTTGAGAGTGAGTGATTCATTCTTGTTTTGCATATCGTATCGTATCATATCATATCATATCATATCATATCATATCATATCATATCATATCATATCATATCATATCATACAATATCATATACCAGTGAGGACCTTTGTTGCCCTTTCATTTGTTCCTCGGACTTGAATATTATGAATTGTTAGTTGTGGTTGATAAGTGATCTTGTCGAGACTTGCATTGATCCATGAACAAGGTGAGAACTTTTCGTTTGCCCGTTTTTGGTGGCCTTGAATGTCGTTTGTGGTGGATGTCGGTATTGCTTGCAATGGTCCATGAGTTAATTGCCAATAGCCATTGAGAATTCCCATTTGGTGGCCTTTGATTCGTCCCTAAGGTATTTTGTAGGTTGAGATACTAACTTGTGTGAAATGGTTTGCTTGGGGACAAGCAAACGTCTAAGTGTGGGGGAGTGATTCGGGCCTAATTGTACGCATTTTATCCCCGTTTTCCTTGGGCGTTTGTGGCATTTGTGCTCGCTCCTAAAAGGGTGGTTTTAGGCTAGGTTTCTTGTGTTTTAGCGTTTTTCAGGATCTAATAGGTGAAACCAGCCCCGGAGTCGAAAGTTGGAAGAAATGGAGCAAAGACAGGGCAAGGAGGGTGTTTCAGGCATCGTTCACGGTCGTGAACTGGAAGCATAGCCCGTGAACCCAAGCAAGTGAAGCGGTGTGTTTTGACGCAACACGCTGAGTTCACGGACGCGTGGAGGAGTTCACGGTCGTGAACTGGAACCGTGAACTGAGCCCGATCCTTGTATAAAATCTGAGCTGAAAGGAAGAGAGAAGGAAGAGCCCAAGTGTGAGAAAGTGTCTTCTTTTAGAGATTTTAGAGAGAGAAAAAACAAACCAAAGAAGAAAAAAGGCTAGGGTTTGCTCCAAGTGGTGAATTGGGAAGAATCTCCCCAAGAGAAGATCAACACAAGCTCAAAGGAGATTGGAGGCATTACCATGATGGTTTATACTTCTTTCTCTTGTGTTCTTCCCCTTTCTAGCATGGAGTAGTTTCCTTTTTCACTTGGGTGTTGTGAAACCCTAACTATTTGCCCTGTAGTTGTTGTGTAGATTCAATGATTGTTTATGGGTGTTTTTTAATATAATGAATGAGGTATTTTTCATGATGTATTGTGCAAGTTTGTGCTTGACAATACAAATTGGCCATTCTAACCTAGGCTAGAGGGAAATCCCCTTTTCAAAGGAGGCTCAATTGAGTTGGGATTCCTTGGGCTTTTCAAGCCACCTACCTAGGTTGATGTAGTGCAAACCTCTATCTTGAATTAAACAACGAGGTTAAGTGCGATTAAGCCGTCCAACCATTGGGTTGAGTGAGAGAGTAACTCAACCCTCGATTGCCTTAACCAAGAGGGCTACTTGAGTAGCCTATAATGTATCCCTTGGTTTGGCAATCTAGAGTGTGGTCTTCGACCATAGTTGCATTTCCTAGCGGTTCGCGGTTGCCTCTCCTATAACTATCCATTCGATTCCACCCGAGTGATCCTTCTCATATAGAGCTTTGAAAACCATTTTCTTTTGCTTTACTTTAGTTTAATCCTCATACTTTATAACCAAAACCAATCTGCTAGATAATGTTTCAAACAATTGAAGTAGGGATATATGGACCGGCCCGGGTTGATATTTAAACATAATTGCCCTATATTGCACCCTACAAAGTTTTTATACTTGGGCCTTAGTTGGGATTTTATTCGTGACGAGTCAGTTGCACCAACAGAGTCTCTCGCATGCTCCTGAACAGTCAACCAAATAAGAGTTCTGTATTTATTCGCAAGATCACTTTTAACCCTATAAGCGTCTTCTCCTACTTTTAAAAAAGATGTTAACTTCCTCGATATTATAAATATTTTTGTTGGTGAGATATGTTCCCTTGCTCTTAAAACATTCCGTTTCCGCCAGGGAGAGAATTTTAAAATCTCTTTCGGTGAACCTGTGTTCTTCAACAATGGTTTTAAATGATTTCTCGTTTATCCTCTTCTTTAAGGAATCCATATCTTTAAAATTACGAGTAAACCCACCAACGTAGCTTTGAAGCGATGCCGAAAGCCCCCTAACTATCATATTGTCAAGGGCAGTAAAAAATGCCAAATCTTGCGTCATTTTTGCCGAATGAACTACAACATTACAAGTAATCGTCTCTAAATCATGGATAACCTCATTGACGCATGGTCAAAACTGACAATGATATGTTTGATAAAGGATCTTTTCTCTTTGTTAATCAACATTGCCATTGGAGACGCACTCCATATGTCACTCCCTGCTTGCGTTCAAGATGTCCCCACACGCTTACGGGGTAACCAACAGAGTTGACTATACCAATAGGAACATAAAGTACTTGCTTGCCCATTTTAGTTACTACCTGCGATGCCAAAGTGGTATCGATAACGTTACCAACGTGGTCAGTGGTGCTTTCCCTTGAGTTAAACGGTAAAAATAGTCTCGTGCATCCTTTTCCTCACTTGCTAACTTAGCTAAGTCTTTATTTCTTGCCTTATCGTCTATTGGACACTGATATATTATCGCTTTCCTATCTCTCTCTTGCGTCTTTGCCAAAAAAAATTAAAAATTCTCATGGGAATTTGTTCCTCTCTTGCAACGGAAATATCTTGAATGAGATTGTCAAAGGCATGCCCCATCATCCCATCAACAGTTACCTCTCTCGCGAACTCTTTCATGGTGGCAACCAATCCTTGAGGAGTATAATGAAGCTGACGGGTTGACGTAGACGTCCTCCAATATACCTACCGTGGGAAACATTTTTTCCATAACTCGCAATCATATTGTTTATGACCTCACTCGCTAGGGTCTCATATACTTCCCCAACAAAAGAGCATAAACTTTTAGCGTCCAACATGCCATTTCTTTGGAACTTGTGTATGTCCGAGGAATAACTTTTTTGACAAGCGTCTCTTTCACTACTGTTGATAGTTTCCTAAAATCCATTGGTTGGGGCGTATAATTCTCCAATGCATGAAACCGTATACCAACAACTTTTGCTTCTTTCAAAAGAAAATCCATCACCTCATGGAATACCTTTGCTATTTAAATGGCTTATGGGTGTACGTTTTATCACCACAAAGAGCTAACATAAGATCCATATTGGCTTTTGAGTTGTTCATAAACCCTATGTATTTTGATCCATATTCGGCGAATTCGGAAACCTCTCGTTAATTTCTCTATTGAGATGTCCTAATGAACCCTCTACTGAACCCCCACGACTCATATGATGAGCAATACGTTGCTTCAACCGTGAGGTTTGCAAACCCTTACCATCTCCCACATCCTTTAGCTCTGCTAACAAATCAAAAGCTTTGAGGCGAGAAGCATAAGAAAAGAAAGATTCTTTTGCTCGGTACCACCTTTTTTGATATGTTCATTTAGAGAAATCCGAGAAAAATTAGCAGTAATGGGCTTCAATATTGGAAATATCCGCATCACTCAACTTGATTTCACCCACTGCTTTCCGAACAGCAGTAATACATTCTTCCCTCATACAGGATACTCCAAATAAACAATTGAGAGCCGCACTAAAAATATCCATTTTGGAAAGCTCAATATCTTTGATGAGATTCTCTTTTATTTCTGGCTCATGAGCAAATCTTTGTTCTAATTCGGTGAATCTGTGTTCATACTCTGGAACTCGAGGAGACAAAGGATCATGTTCAATCGATAGTGTTGACCTTTCTTTTGCTGAGGTGTAAGCTTTTCACCTTGCTTCAAAAGTTATTCCATCTCCAGACTTAACTCAATCTCAGGCTTGGCAATCGTGTCTTTTGTCATAAATTCCATCTTATCAGGATCAATCTTTACTTCCTTCCCTCTTCTCATCTGCTCAATGGCTTGCTCTAACATGCTGGCATGAATCTCAGCCGATTGATGAGTGGTTGCGATTCCAGGGGCAGAATGCACCATATTCTCAATATCACTCTTAACTGTTTGGGCACTATCAACTTCATGGGGCTTGATATAAGGATGATTTCTAGTATTCCCATGCAACACACCCAAACCCACACCAATAACAAATTCCACAGTCATATAGGTTGCGTCTAACTGAGAATAATGCTGAGCTAAATCTTTATACTTTTGGTCGTTTAATTTATCCCCTTGGTGGTTTAAATAGGCTCCATGATTTATATCTCACCTAACCCCAAAAATCACTTTGCACCCCCTGTTATAGCCTTGGATAACAGTGATTTGCCATAAACACCTGCAATCCCCCCCCCTACAAATGTAGGAAGACCGCTGATCCCACCTACTGTCTTAGCGTCTTCATCCTTAACTCCTGCGTCTCTGAGATCTTTATGTGACATTTTCCGCTGATGTTAAGCTCGCCCCTGACAAACCAAAAAGGGGGCTACCACCAGATGCAATAAAACATGTCCCAAATGATGCTAAAAATGACCAATACTATGGAAAGTACTACTGATAACACTTGTATCCTCACTCACTGAGTACCAAGGTTTATGCTCCCAAGGATCTTCCAAGGATCTTGGGGTTGGTAAAATACCGATGTACCCAGCACAAGAGAAGTTGCAAGATCTACCTCTCCCTCAACAACTCCTTTAAGAAACTCTATAGGTGCATGTGCTATATCTGTCCAAAAAATATATTCAGGGGGAAGAGCGGGATTGTATTTGTAAATTCCATGAGATATCACACTATCTATTGCTTGCGAAATTCTTTCTGATTTAGCATAACTCATAATGATGGTCATTTGTTTTCCTCCTTATGGGGTTCTAACAGTCGTTTAGCGGTATTTGTCTTATACCCCTCCATCATACCTTCAGTATCCTTTAACATCGTACCAATAGCCCGTTCTTCATCATCAAAATAAGAATCAGTACGAACCTCAATCTCAAGGTGTTTTCATATTTTGGGATTTGTGATATAGCTTCTCCAAAATTTAGCAAGATATAATGACCTACCATCATGCAAAACCTTGTTGTTCTCAAAATCACACTCAAGTTCTAAAGAGCGGCGAACCTCTTTAAAAGCTTTACCACGTGCTTCTTTAAACTTGTCTTCGGGAGACACCCCACGAGGAGGAATGAGATGTGATTTATTGCCACTGGGAACAGGAGTATTTCCTACAATAGCTTCAAAAGAATGTTCCAGATTTTTATCAAATTGCGAAGCACCCCAGAATCCACTCCTTAAATGATTTCTCACGCATTTCATTAAAGGTATACTTTTTATCCCGCAAAAGTTGCCTTGCAAGATAGTATCCTACTAGTTGAGACACCCTATCATAACTAGCATCTCCATAATCACCAAGGCTTGCAAAAGCTTTTCCGTATTTTAGGCTAAACGACTCCTTAAACTATGCATCAAAACGCTCACCTATCTCGTTTCGTATATTCTCCCCTTTATTGAGGGTTTGATATTTGTATCCTCTTAAAACATCAGGATCCACCCTTAATAACAACCCTGTGTCCCCCATAACAGGGTGGTCTAAGTCTTCCATAGTCTCAATTTAATCAGATCTGTTTAGACCACCCAATCGTTCGGCATAGTTCTCCAAATAAAACTACAACATCTGTAGACTCAAATTTATCCAGATACTCTATCAGCTTGCATCCCTCTTCTTTAGAAAGCAATGGACTTTTGACACCATACATCTGGCCCATCGTTTGCGATGACTCACGCCTAGAGACAAAAAGCTCTCTTCACTATGCGGGATCATCGGGCATCCCAGCGTAGACGTGCTCTCTATCGCCCATTGAATAGGGGGTTCTTTCCTCTCTTTAATATTATGAAAAATGGCTTATACCACATCCAAATATAGCTTGTTCTTAAACTCCTCCCAGTTAAATCTTGAGGATCTGGTTTTAGCTTGGCTAATTCTTCCTCAGACTTGATCGGTAGGTGACTCACTACGACACAACTCCTAACAAAGGCCAAGTGTAACCAATGAAAGGGACTATAGTATAGTGGCTCAAGTAATAAATATCAAATCCACGGGTCGTTAGAGTTACTATTACTCAGCTTCAGTTCATTATCTAGCAAACCAGATTAAGATAGAACAACTAAAACTACTCTAGCAAACTACAGTTAAAGTTAATCTAATTACAGGTTGGGAACTCACTTAGGTATCATTCTCCCTAGCCACTAGCCAGATTAATGGTTGATGATCTCTAACCTGTTTCACTTTCATTCACAATGCGGAGAATCCTTGACTAGACCTTAAATCTTGACTAGACCTCAAAACCTAAGTGAAGGGAAGTTACTCCATAGAGAAGAGAGAAAATGCAGTATAACTTTCCAGATCATCAATCTTCATGTCTAGACTTGTTCCTTGAGCTTCAATGGTGAAGAATCCTCCAAAATATCTTTAAGAATGGTTCTAGATTGCCCCTCTCTCTCTTTGCTTCATCCCTTGGGTATTTAGGAAACAAAACCCAGCTCCCCCCTCCAAGAACGTACAAAACAAGCTTTTATACCCGCTTCTAGAAGTTACCCTGTCGGGTTTTTGGACCTCCTTACCGGGGATTTTTTTCTGATCAAAATCCCCTACCGGGAAATTGGACCGCGGATTTCACACTTTCGGGTCCCTTGTCTTTGATTCTTTGTTTCTCCCTCGTTCGGACTCCGAATCAGGTGACGTTTGATCCCAGACGCTCGTAGTCTTGTCTTCTTCATTCTAAAGACAAGCTTACATGATTCTATAGTCACAAAATGAGGTGTAAATCCTTTCTTCTTCAAGTCATACCCGAGTTTCTGCCCCCGAGTCGCCAATTAATCTCTGATTGACTTGAAACTTGCTCCTATGATTGACTTTATGTGCTAGGACCTGAAATGTGACAAAAGAACACAGACTAACATAAAATAGGCCAAATAAGCGATAATGCAAGCTTAAACGATCAAGAAACAAAGGAGAAAACATGTCCAAATATCGAGTTATCAGTAGGCATCATTGCCAATAGATTAATCTTAGGGGAAAATTCCACTAGCGAAGTCGAGATTACAATGCTTTTCTGCTGGTCTCTCCAAAAACTGAGATAAGATGATCCTCAGATAAATCCGCATCTTTGAACCTCTTAGGTGTTACCCCTCTCATCTAAAATGACTTTATAGCCTTAAGCTTCGTCCCAACCCTTCGATCTCTCCTCTTGCTTGCCTGTCGTGAGTGATTGAGACACGTTGTGTATCACTGAGCGCTTTTGTGCCTCACTCAAATATTTCCATCCCTCAAAAGGATTTCCTGCTTCCACTGCGTTATCATGAGGGGATACGACCTCAAGTGGTGCGTTATCTATTCGTTCCTCTCCTTTCAGTCGAGTATATTCGTTCCTCTAGCGTCTCATTGCCCGTTAGCGGTGCTTCTGTGGATTTTTATGCGGTTTTTAAGAAACGTTTAAATCTTGCTGGATTGTTTAAAGCTACATGATCGACTTGTCCTTGAGCGAGCTGAGCTAACCCAGCATCCCGTGCTTTTATTTTTCGCTCGACATCCATGGGGGAGGAGTCAATAGCTTTTAAAAGTAAGTCTTCTTGCTTTCTGAAATTATCATCTGACCCATCTATCCTTAGACTCGTTACTCCATTACTTGCGATATTGGACGCATGAGAAAGAGACCTAGATATACGCACCCCAGACTCATAGTGAAGACCTTTTGTTCTATATGACCTAATGGCTTGTTCACTTTGGTGGATCATATCACGGCGTGCGCTGGGATCGGTGGTTGATTTGATAAGATTCCTATAATGGGGCTTTATTTTGTTCTCTATGAATGAGCCTATGTTACCTGCTATATCTTTTTCATCCACACTGATATGACTCAAATGCTCAGACCATAGTGTATCTGTCTTGGTCATTGTATTAGACAAATCTAGCAATGATTTGGTATGCGAGGTCTCGCGCCGGACATGTGCTAAATGTTGATTAGCCTTTTCCAAGGATACTGCTAGATCCGCTAAACCTTGCCCACCTGAGCGTGATTGCACACGCTCTTCATGCGGAGGGAGGGCGGAGGATTTAGAAAAGTAAGGGGTAAGTTCTGTCATTTAAAAGTACTCGCTATGTTTGGGTTTGTAGCTTGCGCATACGTGCCGTACACACCCGCACCCATTGACACTAGGGAACTCTCTATAATTGGGGTTTTGAAGATTTCATGGATAATCTCCTACGGGTTGAATGATTGAATGAGCGAATTCACTACACTTTATCCACGAAAACCTTTGCTTATTCAACCGCATAAACTAGGGATGAACAAACACACCCGCAAACCGAGCCACTCGTCCAATCCGACCCAACCCACCAGTATTTATCGCTAAAACGAAGGTTTTGGGTTGGGTGAGGGTTTTCTTTTGTACAACCCGACTCTTTTAGGTTGGGTTTGGATTTTGGATTACACAACCCGTAGAACCCGACCCAACCCGTGGTCCAATTATTGGTATGAGTTTGTATCCAAAAAAAATATTTATACCGTATATAGCCATACTTATGAGAAAATTCAGATATTTCACCATGTTTTTCTCTCATGGTCTCCATAATCTAATGCATTCTTCGGCTTAAAGTTTAGGCATAAATTTAATATAGCTATGATTCACGTAATCCTTTTTCTTGTGTACAATTTTAATAGAATAACATATTATGGATGTGTTCATTTATAACCTTTTTAGCCTATCTCAACAAATGTCGTGAAAACTAGACATAAGTTGAAGAAAATCAAATTTTATTAAAATTCAAACAACATTTGTGAATTTTGATACCTTTCATCTCGGTTTATTCGTTTGAATTTTTAATGAGTTATAAAAAATTTTTAGGGTGTAGAATAATTACATTTTTTGTGTTCGGTTGGGCTTTTACTTAAAAATATCGCCAACCCGACCCAACCCAATTAGAAACAAACCACAGGGTTTAAATTTTAGGGTGCGTTTGGGTTTAATATTTCCCAAACCGTAGTGCATGGGCCGGGTGATTAAAATGCCTAAACCCGGACCACCCGACCCATGTACACCCCTACCATAAACCATCAATAAAATCCCTTTCTTCATAACTATTGTTCCTGTAAAAATTCCCTGTCCTTTTCAAGGTTGAAAGTTGGTTC